TATTGTTGGTATTCTTAGTTTAGTTGTTCTCATAAGCATGAAACAAAAGTCTCTTAAGGCTGGCGCCGAGTGGGAGTGCAGGATTCGAACCCGAGCGTGTGAGCGTCTAACCTCCTTTTCTTGGCACAGCTGTTTTTCAAAGATAAAGGAAAAGTCTGGGCTGAGACAATCTGGTCCATCTAGAAGACGGAGCTTTGTCGGAGTCATTGCCACCAACATTGTTCAAGAGGTTGTGCTAAGGAGGAAATGTGCTAATGAGGTAGGGGAGCAAGGTTTGGGTGCAAGAGGGGGCTCTGGGTTCAAACCCATTGTCTCCCACTTGTCAGCTGGGTCGCCAGAACCTCTCAGAGCCCTGGTTGTGTCATCTGGTGCATGCATCTCGGAGGTCCCATGTCACAGAGGCGAGATGTCCCCCGGAGCCCTGGCAGTCAGGGAGAAAGTTCCTGCAGAGTTCGTCCTAGGGGGACGAGTCCCCCACAGGGGACTCACACTTGTGCTTCGATAGTGGAAGAGATGGCACAGGAAATTAGGGCGGAGAAAAAGTCCTTTAGGGGCCAGTCCAGGGAAAACCAGACAGCCTGAGGGCTCTGGGGACTTGGGACAGCTCACTCAGCCTCAGTGTCCCCAACTACTAAAGGGATCGAGAATATGAGCCCATCCTGCAGTTGGAATAATGATGGATATGATGCAAAATTGTCCCTCCCTGGAATTTTTTTTTTTTTCTGATAACCTCCCCGGAATATTATTTAGCAAGAAAAAGAAATGAGGTCTCAAACCACAAAAAGACAGGGAGGAGGCTTAAATGCATGTGACTAAGTGGAAGAAGCCAGACTGAAAAGACCATGTATTCTATGATTCCAGCCATGTGACATTCTGGAAAAGGCAAAACTATGGAGACGCTAAAAAGATCAGTGATTGCGGGGGTGGGGAGGGATGAGCTGCAGAGCACAGAGGATTTTCAGGGCAGTGGAACCATTCCGTATGATACTGTTATGGTGGATACGTGTCATTCTGTCAATCCAGACCCAGAGATTGTACAACACACAGGGTGTGTCCTCATGGGGACTACCGACTTCAGTGAATAACGACCTACCGGTTATAAGAAACGTCCGTCACTAAAGCGAGATGTTAGTAATAGAGGAAACTAGATGGGGCGCGGGGAATATACGGAAACTGTACTATCCGCTCAGTTTTCTGCGAACTGAAACCGCTTTTGTTTTTTATTTTTTTTAAGATTTTATTTATTTATTTTTTTGAGAGAGTGAGAATGAGAGAAAGCATGAGAGGGAGGAGGGTCAGAGGGAGAAGCCGGCTCACCACCGAGCAGGGAGCCCGAAGGGGGACTTGATCCCGAGACTCCAGGACCACGACCTGAGCCGAAGGCAGTCGCCCAACCAACTGAGCCACCCAGGCGCCCTTGAAACCAATTTTAAAAATAAAATCTATTGAGGCGCCTGAGTGGCTCAGTCGGTTAAACGGTTGAGGTCATTATCGAGCCCCGTGTAGGGCTCTACGCTGGGCTGGAGCCTGCGTGAGTCTCTCTCACCCTCTCCCTCTGCCCCTCCCCCCCCAATAAATAAATAAATAAATAAATAAGTCTATTAGTTTAAAAAAAGGAAAGTGTCTTTCCTGCCCTCTACCCCGGCCCCAGCTGTTTCTTGGAATTTTTTGAAGAGAATATCTAGAAAATCAAGTAAAGATGGATATATACATTTTTCCTTAATATTTGACACCAAACGTGGCTTTCTATACACCCTGATCTGCACCTTGCTTTTCTCATTCCAGGCCATTCCATGCACTGCATAGATGCCGTCCTCATTGTTTCTTTTATTGAAAGAGAATTCTTCCTCTTTGCACAGCTGTGCAGTATTCCGCTACGCATGGGCAATGAAGCCAGCCCCTTGTGGGTCGTTATTTCCACCCTTGGCTGTTCGGTCAACCCTGTTTGTCACGAATGTCTTCATCATTTTCCATGTAAAGACTGGATTTCTAGAAAGGGACTTGCTGAGTCTAAGGGTTCGCAGGTTTGTAGTTTTGAAATACCCAGCCGATTTGTCCTCCATTTGACATTTACTTAAAGACACCTGGGCCAGTGATGGACGGGAGAGTTGGCTCTTCCTGAAATAAACCCCAGGGTGTCCCTGCCATGCTCTGCGCCCCTCCGTAGCTCCCCACTGCCCAAAGGGCTATGCCCAGGCTCCCACTGGGAGGCCTTGGAAACCCACCACCCTCTCCCCCTTGCCCTCCACACAGGTGACTTCTACTTCTCCCCTCAGTCCCTGCTTTGCTGGTCCCCTCCCTCCCTAACTCAGTCTGGCCAACACCCACTTGACATCCCTTCCAGCTGACATCACCTCCTTCCAGAAGTCCCCCAGGCCTGGCAATGCTGCTGGAGCAAATGAATGGATGAAGGAATGAAGTGGGAAAGGGGAGGGGGTCTATAGGCCATAGGGAGGAGCATGGCTCCCTCCGGGGGCAATGGGGAGCCAGAGCAGGCTTTGAGCAGAGGACAGGCATGTTGAAAAATTTCTCTTATTTGCAGGGGCACCTTTTTGTGCCGTGGGCCCTTATTAGCGGAAGTTTGTAAGTTCATAAAATCAAACACCTAGGATGGTGAAGGAAACCCATTAGAAACCCATTACATTCGATACTGTTACCAAAATCTGTTTTAATTGTGATGGAATGTGGGCATCTTTCTTAATACATTAAATAAGATGGCCCAGGGCACCTCCAATGACTGTCATCAGTAGAAGCAGGGGGAGCGTGAGTGATGCAAGTTTTTCCTTCTAAGGAAGAGCTCCTAAATTCTGCTTGCAAACCCCTTGGGTGTCTGGGGACCCTGGTGAAAACCCCCCAGATCTTGGGATGTGGTAAGAGCACCCGGAAGGTGAGCAAACTTCACAGCGGTGTCACTAAGAGGGACAGGAGTGATTTGCAGGGATGATGGACAAGCATCCAGACAGACAAGCATCCGGCGGCTCGGCCATCTGTTCAAAGAAAAACAGGAAGACTGCACTCTGCCCCTCTGGCCTCTCTGGGCCCAGCCTTTGTCTTTGTGACTTTAACTTCCAAAGGCAGGCCAGGAGCCTGTGAGTCGGCTTCCAGCTTCCTTCCCAGCTCCGGAAGCAGCAGGAAAAACAGCCTGACAAGGCGGCGTCACCCAGGTTCTGTGCTCTCCTGACAACACTTCATGGTTCCCCAATCACAGCCCCATAGGGCCAGCTCTGAGGGTAACAACTCATTTCAGAGATGAAGAGACAGAGGGCCAGAGAGGCCCCAGGTCACCCAGCCTGGCTGTGGCCAAGCTGGGACAGGAATTCGGGTCTCTTTGGATGCTAAGTCCTGCCTGTGGCCATTCCTGCTCTGAGTTCACCACCTACCTCAAGACACCTACTCATTCATTCATTCCTCATTCGTTTATCAAGTGATTCACCAAGTTGCCAAAATCATCTGACGATCCAGGGGAGAGATTTCCCTAAACGCAACAGACCCAGTTTCGTGTTTTACGACTCAAATGTGTGCTTTGAGGTGGGTGGCTGCTTCCCTCAGCCTCAGTTTCCTGCCCCCATAGGTTGATGACCTGGGGTGATGAGACCACCCCGCCCCCGTGGGGGGGGTGGGGTTAGTTGGAGCTTACACACAGCAGGTGCTCAGAAGATGCCTGTTGAACAGATGGCCTTTGCATCCTGCTCCCACCACCCGACCTTACCTGCGCACTACCCTCACCCCACTTACCTCTCCCTGTGGCAGGAGGGTTCCCTGCCTGTGGGCAGGAGGGCTGAGGGCAGGGCGCGGTCCTGAGCTGGCTGATCCTGCCATTCCTGGCATCGGCACCAGGGGGCAGTGGGTGCCCAGTCAGCTTTCCTCTACCTGCCCCCAGCACCCCTCACTCAGGTGGGGAAGCTGAGACATTGATCCTCCTGCCGTCAGGCTGGCTTCTCACACCACACTGACGGTGGACGTAGTAGGCACTAGGGGACAGGGAGGTATCATTCATTCTCTTATTGAGCACCTATTATATGCAAAGCCCTATGCCGGGCATTGGGGACACAGCCGTGAATAAGGCAGAGAAAAATCCTTGCCCTCATGGAGCTGACATTTGAGTGGGAGAGATGGACACCAGGGAACCAGGCAGTTACAACTGAGGGTCATCGGGGCTGTGATGGGGGAACCCCAGGGGCTGGAGGCAGGAGGACCCAGAGGAGCCCCTGAGCTGGCTTGAGCAGGGAAGGGAGGGGGTCAAGGAAGGCTTCCAAGAAGCATGAGACCTAAGAACGAATAGAAGTTTGTTCGGGTAAAGAGCAGGAGAACCAGCGTTCTGGGCCGAGGGTACAGCCTGTGCCAAGGGTTGGAGCAGTCGCCCCCTGCCCCCACATAGACAGGCAAGCACACGATAATGCTGCACGGACGCGGACAGTGAGGTTCTGGAACAAGCACTGAGCAGCAGCTCAAGGGAACGGAGTTGAGAGAGGCTGGAAATAGATATTCATGGAGTGGCCAACTATGTGCCAGGTGCTGGGGACCTCGGGGAGACGGATAACTGGCTGGTTAGACACAGTGCGATTGTAGTTGTAACGGGGGATGCCCAAGCAGCTGTAGGAGGCAGAGATGGCCAAGCTGAGATTTACGGGATGGAGAAGGGTCAGGGGAGGTGTGAGTGGAACAGCATTCTAGGTGGTGGGAACAGCAGGGGGCATTGGTGTACAGAGGGCTGATCTTCAGCTCCGCTCTGTCACTCACAGAAAAGGAGGTTCAGCCCCTGGCCGGCTCCTCAGCCCCACCCCCACCCGGCCCAGCCATCTCCCACCTGGACCAGGACAGTCCCTTCCTCCCTGGTACACAGGCGCTGTCCCCATACCCTATAGTCTGTTCCTCATCACAGCCAGACGAGGCCAAAGTCCCCGCCAAGCTTGGCCTCTGTTTGAGCAGCTGCCAGGGTCACCTCGCCCTGCCTGGCTGAGTCAGGCCTGGCGTGGCCTGAAGAGGAACTTCCTCACCAATCAGGTCTGGTAGGCACCGGGGCAGGCAGCAGGCTCCGGGCGGCTGGGGCAGGGCCTTTCCTTGGAGGCATCTTTGAAGCAGACTTTCCACCCAGACGGGGCTTGGAGTCCCTGGGCTCGCAGCCCCCACCGGCTCCTGGGGGGAACCAACTCCCACGAGGGCCTGGAGCTTGGTGCTCCCGAGCGAGGTCTGTGCCTCGTGCTGGGACCGGCCACAAGCCCTCCATGGAGCAGATGAGGAGATGGAGACTCAGAGAGGTGGAGAGATCGACCCTGGGTCCCACAGCCTGGCCTGGCCTGGGACTCTGTGAGTATTTGGAAACACACATTTCAGGGTCAGGCTCCCTCGGTGACAAATCTGGGATCACAGATGGGACTCTGGCTCGCCGGGTGAAATTGGGCAAGTCGCTCTGCCTCGCTGGGCTTCAGTTTTCTCATCTGCAAAAGTGGGGTGGTGACGGCACCCACAAGTGGGAAGGGGGACAGCACATGTGAAGAGGGAGCTGTGCTCTAGGGCTCAGAGGACACTGAGCAGGTGGGCAGCTGGAGTGGAGGGGGAGGGGAGGGGAGGCGGATCATCCACGGCCTCATGGGCCTTGGGGAGGACTTTGGCTTTTACCCTGAATGAGGTGGGAGCCAGGGAGGATTCTAAGCAGAGGAGGGGCCTGACCTGATTCAGGTGTTGCCAGGCCTTTTCTGGACACTAAAGGAAGAACAAACTGGAGGGGTGAGGTCAGGAGCCACGAGATCAGGTATGATGGGGTCTTGGGCTGGAACGAGGCAGAGGGGAGGGGAGAAACCCAGAAATCTTTGCTCATCTTCATGTTTCTTGCCCAGCTGGGCTCCCAGGAGCCCAAAGGCGAGGCAGGCACTTTAGCCCAGGAGGTTGCTGGTTGGGGTGAGGGTGACATGGGCTGGGGCACAGCAGAGTGATGGGCGGGGTTATACCTGGCGGTTCCCAGGTCAGAGTGGCTGGACCACTCAGGCAAGTGCAAGTGCGTGGGCTGCTGACAGATATACATGTCACATGCCAGGCTGGGAACAGCCCTGCTGTGCCCTTAAGAGCTTGGGGCTGAGTGGCAGGGTATGAGGGCTCCCCCCTCCCCCGTCCGGCGCGGAAATCCAAGCCTCCCTTCTCTGGCCTCAGGATCTGATACTGATCCACTTGCCTAGTTAGGGCAAGTTCTTCTGCTTCTCTGGGCCTCAGTTTCCTCACGTGTAAAAGGGAGGATAATGCTAATACCCATACATGGGAAGAAGAGCAGCATATGCAAAGCCCTAAGGTAGAGCCATGCCCTTGTATCATTCAGCCCCCAATTCTGCCTAGGACATTTTCTTTTTTTTTTTTTTTTTTAAGATTTTATTTATTTCTTTGAGAGAGAGAGAATGAGAGACAGAGAGCATGAGAGGGAGGAGGGTCAGAGGGAGAAGAAGACTCCCCGCCGAGCAGGGAGCCCGATGCGGGACTCGATCCTGAGACTCCAGGATCATGACCTGAGCCGAAGGCAGTCGTTTAACCAACTGAGCCACCCAGGTGCCCCTGCCTAGGACATTTTCTGACCAGGGCTGGAAAGGCCATGGGGAGGAGGAATCTGCCCGTGCAAAGGCTTGGGGGTGAGCAAGGGGTTGGCACATCCAGAGCATGAGTGGGGGCTGGAGAATTCTTTTTTTTTTTTTTTTTAAGATTTTATTTATTTATTTGAGAGAGAGAGAGCACATGAGAGGGGGGAGGGCCAGAGGGAGAAGCAGACTCCCTGCCGAGCAGGGAGCCCGATGCGGGACTCGATCCAGGGACTCGATCCAGGGACTCGATCCAGGGACTCCAGGATCATGACCTGAGCCGAAGGCAGTCGCTTAACCAACTGAGCCACCCAGGCGCCCAAGGGGGCTGGAGAATTCTTGAAGACTGCTGCTTCACTGGAGCTGGGAGAGGAACCACTGGGGAGAGATTTGAGACCACAAGTAAACCGAGACATCCCCACATCCTCCTTCCAGCGGAGGCAGCCGGACCACTCAGGCCCCAGTCACATGGCCCGGCATCTCAGAGCCCAGCTGGACCCCTCTGCTTCCCTTGTCCTGGACTGGGGCACATCCCACAGTGGCCTCAGAGACCCCTGCGATCACTCAGGCCTGGGCAAACGTCTGGTCACCTCCGTGCCTCAGTTTACCCATCTGTAAAATGGGGAAACGATCGTTCCTTCTGCACCTGTGAATTGCAGGGCCATGCTTCATAAACGCTTGAGATTATACTTATGGCGGATTATTGTGGGGATTAATCAGAGGGCAGAAAGAGCATCCCCCGGAGTCTGACACCCCCAGCCTCGGTCCCGGCGCCTCTCCTCTCCTGCCCCCTTCAGAGCCTCAGTTTCCCTACCCCAGGCCCGAGGGGCGCGCGGAGGCGGCCTGGGGTCCCCGCGCCCCTCCGGCCGGCAGGGGCAGCACGGAGCCGCCCCGCACACCCGGAAGGGCCCCGCCTCCGGCCCCGGCCCCGCCCAGCCCGGGCAGCCCAGAGCCGGGAGGCGGCGGCGGCGGCGACCACGGCGGGGACGGTGCGCGGGGCGGCAGCGGCGGGACGCGCGCGGCGCCATGGCGGCCGCCGAGCGCCGCGCCTTCGCGCACAAGATCAACAGGTAGCGCGGCCGCCGGGCCCCTCCCGGGCCGCCCGCACGTGTCCGAGCCCCGCCCCGGGGCGGCCCGGCCCTCCCCGGCCCCGGCGCCCCCGAGTCAAGCCCCTTCCGCCCGGGCCGACTCCGGCCCGCTTCCTCCGGCGGGGGCCGGGGGCGGCGGGAGGCGGGGAGGGCGGCCGGGGTCCCCGCTGGGGCCGCGGCGGGGCTGCGAGTGCGATGGCGGCTGAGCCGAGGTCCGCCCTGCGCGCCGGGGGGTGGGGTGGGGGGACGCGTGGGGGCGTGTCCGGGGGGCCTTCCTGGAGGCGGCGGCTCAGGGAGAGCGGGGACCGGGAGCCCTCCGCGTCCCTCGCCACCCCCCGGTCCTTCCCGGGTCCCCGAGCCCGAGGGCATGGGAGCGGGAGGGGCCTTCGCGACCCACCCTCTTTCCTGGCGCGGGGCTGGGATGCTCCTGGAACCGGGATTTGGGAACAGGGATGGTGCTCTTGGAGGCCTTGGAGGCCCCTCGGGAAGTTTCCCGTGCTCTTCCCCCGCTGCCAAGGTCCCGTGCCCAGCTGTCTGGGGAGCAGGGGACAGCTGTGGATGCCCTCCCCCGCCACCCCCCCAGCCCTGCTTCAGGCTCTCCCAGCGGCGGCTGGACGCGCTGGAGATGGATGGGTGATTGAATGGAGGGAGTGGGGGCTGGGGACCCAACCAGCTGGTGGGCAGACGGGGGAGGGGACAGGCGCCAGGCGCTGGGGGATCCATTTCCGTGGCCACTGGAGATTGTAAGAGACTCAGCCCGGGAGGGGGAGGTCAGACTGGGGCTGAAGAGCCTCTCCCCCATCTTTGCCTCCGTGGCCAGAGTCTGCCCAGGGGTCCTCTCTACAGGGGACCTGTGCTGGCCACGCCCAAGTGAAAGAGCGCCCTGTGGGTCCAGAGCTGGCCTGATGGAGACACAAGAAAAGATCCCACCCTTGGTGGCAGATACAATGGGGTAGACAGAGGAGTAGCACAATAAAATAGATTATGTATTAATGATAAGTGCCAGTGCTATGGGGACACGCAAGGCAGGGAAAGGAGATGGGGACAATGGGGGCCATTTTAGATATGAGAAGCAGATCAGGAAGGCCAGGACGATAAGGTGACAATTGAGCAAAGTTCTGAAGGAGGTGAAGGAGGCATCCGTGCCCATATGTGGGGGAAAAGCAATCCAAACACAGGGAAAGGCAAGTGCAAAGGCCCTGAGGCAGGAAGAGGCATGGTGTATTTACAGGTCATCTGAGGAGGCCAGCCAGTTTGGAGCAGAGTGAGGAAGGGGACAGTGGGAGCAGATCGTGCGGGGTCTTGTGGGTTGTGGGGAGGACCTTAACTTGTATCCTGAGTGAGGTGGGAGACATGAAGAGTTCTGAATATATGGATGTGACCATGTGTTTGGAGCGTAGTAGTCAGGCAATTTTTATGTTCTGTTATCTTTATGTTCCCAAATTGCCTCTCTGTCTTGGACCTTTGGCTTCTCTGAACGCGTTTCTTTGCCACTCAGTCTCTGTGTTCTTGGGTCCTGGCTTCCACTCCAGTAAAAAAGAGAGGTCCTGGGTCCTGCCCTGGGGAATAGATGCTACAGAGCCCAGGGTAAAAAGAGCAGAGAATGATCCTGGGGCCCCAGTGAACCACAGCAAAAGGCTCACGTCTTCTAGCCATCCTTTGCCAGGGCCTCCAGAGCAGCCTAGTGGACACCCAGGTGTCTACATGCTCAGATCTGGGCCTATATTCATCTATTCAATCATTCAGTCATTCATTCCACAATGCCATATTGACCCAAAAGTTAAACAGTCCCCCAGTTTCTTTTAAAAAAACACACAAAGATTTGGGGGGACAACTTAAAACTAAAAGTAAATAACATGGACAAACATTACTGTATGCAATATAACTTGTTCATTTTTTCACTTATACTGTTTAAAGTAAAACACAATGTGGAATGGTGATAATGGCCAGCACTTATAATATGTTTATGGCTGGCTGGTCCCCAGCGGGAATGCCATTTGTCACCAGAGCCTGGTGACATAGGTATAACTATAGAAAGCTGGACTCACAGTCCAGTGACTGTCGAGTGTCTCTTGTGGGGAAGTGAGCCCAGGAGTGTGTGGCCCCAGGCTTCAGAACAATCTCAGAAACTGTGTCTCTTCCTGCCCCCACATATCCCCCGTTCTTCCAGGCATCTGATAGCGGCATCTTCATTCGGCCCCCCAGCTGTCTCCTGCGGGGCAGGTGGCATTTCTCACTCAAGGAAATAGTGATTTCATTGGAGGCGTGGGAGGGCAAAGAGACATGTATTGACCAAATTCCAAAGGTGCCTCTGGGATTTCAAGGAAATGTCTCCCTCCCACCCCTGCCCCCCAATACATCTGCAAACGTGAGCACACACACGTATTGTTACTTTCTACCTTTAAAAAAATGGTGACATCTGACATGCATCTAGAAAAATGCAAAGTTTAAATAGTAGTTAGTTATAGAACCAATGCCAAGGTGGCGCCTGGCCGGCTCAGTCAGTGGAGCACGGGACTCTTGATCTCGGGGTCATGGGTTCGAGCCCCACATTGAGGGTAGAGATTACTTTTTAAAAAATTAAAAAGCAGGGGTATCCGGGTGGCTCAGCCGGTTAAGCGTCTGCCTTCGGCTCAGGTCATGATCCCGGGGTCCTGGGATCAAGCCCGGCATCCGGCTCCCTGCTCAGTGGGGAGCCTGTTTCTCCTCCCTCTGCCCCTCTCCCTCCCCCTGCTCGTGCGCTCTCTCTCTTGCTCTTTTATGCGCTCTCTCTGTCTCAAATAAATAAATAAAATCCTAAAAAAAATGAAAACACAAAACAACAACAACAAGACAATAAATACCAGGGGAAAAAGTCACTGGGGTCAAAGGCAGAGATGAAGGCAGTCTCTATCTCCTGGGCCACCCAACCTAGCCGCCCCTCCTGATCTGCACCCAGTTCTGTCCCCCAGGGAATTGCCATGCTGATGGCAGCTGCCCCCACTTCCTCACTTGCGTTATGGTTTCTCCAGCCGGGCTGGTTCCCTGTGCGCCACGGGTTACTTTTGCCTGCTTAGAACATCTTATCAATGGAATCACATGGGGTGTCGAGGCTGTGTGCCCAGAGTCTCTCACCCGATGTAATGTCAGGAGGAGGAGGGCTTGTCTGTGCCGTCGATGGGCGGGTGCATCCTTTTTCATTGCTGCATACTATTCCTCCCGCCCGCGCACAGTCTCTATCTTCGGTCAAAAAACATGTGCGTCTTTTCACTTTGGGGTTGTCATGACCGGGCCTGCCGTGAACATTCTCAGCCTCCTGAGCATCTACGCCTCTGCGTGGAATTGCTGGATTGGCTTATCTTCAACTTTGCTTGGTCATTGCAGACGGTTGTCGAAAAGGGTTCCCCCAGCAGCAGATGAGAGTTCCTGTCGCTGGCAGGCAGATCATTTGTCTTTAAAATGTTCTGCCAGTCCAGGAGGGCTAGGGTGGGGTATAAAGAGAAATCTCTTTATGGTTTTACATGGATTCATAGTCTTCCCTCACTTTTTTACTCAAGTGGGAACACGCAGCGTCAGAGGCTTATGCCATTCTCGTTTCTGGTTTTATCTCCTCCTCCCCTGTGGGGATAGATTTCTGTTAATCCGACCAGCCCTGGGGTGAGGTCCACAGTCTCACATGAATTCCCAGTGATGCCACTGCTTCATCTTTCTCCTCTGAGTGTCTCTGTAGGATTGTTGACTATCACCTTAGGAGGTCTTGTCTCAGCAGTAGCTGTAACCCACCACCTGATCTTTGCGGTGTCTCTCATTGCAATCCTGAGGTCACTTCCTGAGGAAAACCAGTATATTCAGCTCAACATTTTGCCTCCTTTTAAGAGATGTGCTCCGTGGGGGTGTCTGAAGCAGATCTGATGTGGGCGTGAGAAAGAGAGGAATTGGGGATGACTCCCAGGCGTTGAATTGGGGGTCCTGAGCATCCCCAGAGGGCGGGGCTGCCCTTAGGGAGACGGGGAGGATGGCAGGAGGGCAGGTTATGGTCAGGCTGCATGCCTGCAAGACCCCACGTGGGCATGCAAAGGAGGCAGGTGCCACACAGAATGGACCCAGGGATTGTCCTTGTTTGGGTGGTCCTGAAACCTGGAGGCTGGATGGGACCACTGTGCGGGGGGGAGCTGAGCGTGGACATGGGAGAGGCAGGTTGGGAGCCTCTGTTTTTGGCCCTGTTCCCCAGCATGGGCAACGTGGAACACCACGTGCTGGGGGGCACGGACTCTGACTTCTGGCCCACAGGGGTTTGATTCTTGGCACCTACCGCATTCGGCTCTCTAACCCCAGAGGCCTCCCGACCCGCCCTTTTCTGAGCCTCACTCCTCTTCTGGCCCAGCATAAAAAGCAGGGCCAGAAATTCCAGTTTCCCAGGATCCTTTTAAGGCAACTTAGTGACAGCAAGCCTTAATTGAGCACTTGCTGTGTGCCGAGCCTTATACTCAGAACAGTTCGATAAGGTGTGGGTACTGAATTGTACAGTACAGAGGTCCAGAGAGGGAATGATACTCATCCATGCTTGCCCAGGCCCAAGTGCAGAGCCCTGTGACACAGGAAAGTGGCTCCCATGGCCACAGTGTTGAGGACCGACCCACTCGGGGGCCATCTCTCCAAGGCCAAAGACAAAATGAGGTGGGAGTCCTGGCTGTCCCTCCTCCCCTCTCCCTGCTCTGTTGGTGCCCTGGTCCCAGCATTTTCATAAATCATCCCCCAAGACCCTGTGTGCCCAGGCTTCCAGAGGAGGCGGCCCTAACTTTGGGAATTTGAGGACGAACAGCTCATTTGGAACACCCTTTGAATTTCCTAGAAGATCCTCCATCAGCTCCCTCCACACCCCCGAACAATAGAAGCAAGACTCTGGGACAGTTGAGAGAGAAAGTAAATAGAATACAGAGGCAGAGGAGTGAGGCTGAGGTCTCAACTGGAGGCGCCCATGATGGGTCAGGGTCATGGTCAAGTTTTGTTTGATGGATTTTTTTTTTTTTTTAATTTATTTGACAGAGGGAGACACAGCGAGAGAGGGAACACAAGCGGGGGGAGTGGGAGAGGGAGAAGCAGGCTTCCTGCAGAGCAGAGAGCCCGTTGTGGGGCTCGATCCCAGGACCCTGGAATCATGACCTGAGCCGAAGGCAGATGCTTAATGACTGAGCCTGCTTAACGAACCCAGGCGCCCCTGACCTATACGGATTTGAATTCAGAGGCTTCCAGATGACCCCCGTTGGTCCCAGTCTCCCCCACCCCCACCTGTCTTCCCTGAGCCCACCGCACACATTCATCTCATCGGTGGTCCGTGGTTTGTGATCAACATAGTACTTCCGGGGGGGTACAACTTTTCATTATGAAAACTTCCAAGCATAAAAGTGGAAAATGGGAGCAAGGCCCAAATACCCAGGCAATTGCCTTCTCAATTTTAAGAGGGATTGAGGCCCAGGGGCTCCTGGGTGGCTCAGTTGTTAAGCGTCTGCCTTCAGCTCAGGTCATGATCTCAGGGTCCTGGCATCGAGCCCCGCATCGGGCTCTCTGCTCAGCGGGGAGTCTGCTTCTCCCTCTCCCACTCCCCCTGCTTGTGTTCCCTCTCTTGCTGTGTCTCTCTCTGTCAAATAAATAAATAAAATCTTAAAAAATAATAATAATAATAAATTTTAAAAAAGAGAGATTGAGGCCCAGAAAGGGTATCCCATCTGCCCAAAGCCACACAGCTAAAATTTCTGGGGCTTCTCCTAACTCACGGTGGATTTGGCAAGTTGGAGCAGGAGGGAAATGGGGAGGGATTCATTCCCCTCGAGAAAAATTTATTGAGTACCTACTGTGTGTGGGGCTGGTGCTGGGGCCTGCATGGGGACCACACAGCCCTATTCCTGCCTTCGTAGAGACCCCGGGAAGCAGGAGTCTCCATGCTTGGAGGACAGAGCCCAGCCACAGGGTCTTTGCACTTGCTGTACCCTTTGCCTGGAATCCTCTTCCTCAGATAACTGTGCGGCTCTCTCTCCTTCCCCTCCTTCCAAGCTCAGCTGAAGGAATTGAGTGCCTGGGCGTACCAAGTCCCAGATTCCTGTGCTGGCCCCCTCCCCTGTGGGTCTTGCCCCTTCACCCTCCTCCTCCCTGACTTGGAAGGCCAGCACAGGTGAAGGTGGCCCAGGAAGGCCATAGCCCAGATCTTGGTTACTGGGTGTGCTCTGTGAATCATGCTGGTCTCTTAACACACGCTCAGGTGGGTGAACTGAGGCTCAGAGGGAGGAGTAACTTGTCCAAAGCCCCATAGCAAGGATGGGACAGGGTGGGTGGAGGTCCCCCAGATGAGGAAGTCGAGGCCAGGGACCAGGGGGCTGGCCAGCCAGGACTCACACCCATTGCTGGGCATCAGGGATAAAGAAGGATCTGTGACCCTCATGCCCTGCCGGGAGCAAATCCTTCCATCTGTGCTTGGCTGGTGTGGGGGTGGGGGGTTGGAAGGGCCCCAGGCCCAGCTTGGGGGGTCCTGGGGTCTCTGTATCAACCATAGCCCTGGGGCCCTGAGGCTGAGCTCTGCAGATTCTGAAGTCCAGGTTCTCCTGGTCCGTGGCCTGGGTTTTTCCTTCCACAGCCTGGATTTTCCTCTTGGAGAATGAATTTATTGGCCGGAAGTGGAGTTCCCAGGGCCCCATCGCCCAAGTTGTCATGTCCTCAGTGGCCCCTTCCCTTTCCCCGCAGGACAGTGGCTGCGGAGGTGCGGAAACAGGTGTCCCGGGAGCGCAGTGGCTCCCCGCACTCCAGCAGACGCGGCAGCAGCTTTCTGGGGGTACGTGTTTGGGAGGTGCTCCCCTCCAGGACCCTGCTCTCTAGCAGATGTGGGGTTCCGCTCTGCCCGGGCCTGGCCCCACCCACCCCTCCCACTAGTGCCCTGTCCTGGGTGGGACTGTCCCCACTCCTCTTTCCCTGTGGGTGGGGAGGGTAGTCCCCTCTCTGCAGCTGCTGAGGGGTTTCGGGGGGGCAGCGCCGTGGGTGGTCAGCCTGATGCCGCCCCACCTCCTGCTGCCGGGACCACCCAGATTGGGGGGTGGGTATGGGAGGTACTTCCAGCTGCAGCGGAGAGGGAGTGGGGCCTGAGGAATTGTCTTTCTTCGCAGCAGCCAGCTTGCCTTTCCTTCCAGCATAACCCTGCCCCTCCAGGCACAGGGGTGTGATTTCCTGCCTGGAAAGAGGGGCAGGGCAGGCCATGCTGGGATGGGGGTAGAGAGTCTGAGGTCACTGTCCTCCCTGGCTCCTCACAGCTCCAACACCCTCCATGGCTCCCACCGCCCTCTTGCTCGAGCCCAAGCCCACGCCCCCCCACCCCCTTCCTCAACCCCCAGGGCCGGGCCCACAGTCCCCTTGCTCCAACCCAGGTCCCACTGACTGAAGTCATTGAGCCCCTGGACTTCGAGGATGTGCTCCTGAGCCGGCCACCAGATGCCGAGCCTGGGCCCCTCCGGGACCTGGCTGAGTTTCCAGCCGACGACCTGGAGCTCCTGCTACAGCCCCGGGAATGCCGGACCACAGAGCCCGGGATCCCTGAGGATGGGTGGGTTCAGCCCCACGCCCTCCTTGTCTGTGACTCCGGACTGCCTCCGTGCCTGCCCCTCATCCACATCCCCCTTCCATCAAGCTCGCCACAGCCCCAAGTTCAACTCCTGGCTTGGCTGTGTAACCTTGGGCAAGTTACCCTCTCTCTCTGAGCTTCTGTCTCCACATCTCCAAAACGGGCAGAAGGGCAGGCCCTACCTCAGGCCACTGGACAGATGAACACCATGCCCTGCCTCTGTTTACCCTGATTTTATTTTGTGCAGAAAGCTGGATGCCCAGGTGAGGGCCGCAGTGGAGATGTATACAGAGGATTGGATCATCGCTCACAGGAGGTGGGTCTGGCTCGGGGGCAGCTCCAGGCAGAGGGTCAAGAGGCCAGGTCTGAGCCCATTGGGCCAGTCCTCCTGCTTATCTGCCCACTGTCACTGCAAGGGCAGCTGGACTTCTCTGGTGGATCACAGGGAGGGTGGAAGGCCTGGCAGGCATCACATGGACCTGTGGGGTGCCTTCATCCCTGCTACCCACCCAGCCCTGCCTCCTCCTAGGTACCAGCATCTGAGTGCGGCGTATAGCCCCATCACCACGGAGACGCAGCGAGAGCGACAGAAGGACCTCACTCGCCAGGTCTTTGAGCAGGACACTTCTGGGGATGAGAGGTCCGGCCCAGAGGACTCGGTGAGGGAGCCCCGGGCACGCGTCACCATAGGAGTGTGTGGGCTCTGGCCCCAGCTCTCGGTCACATGTGACGGGAAGTGACCCAAACGGCCTTGAACCCAAAAGGAAATGTGTCAGTCCCGTGAGTTAAAAGTTAAGGGTCATGATTATGAACACACATGCTTAGTGTGTACTAAAGGCTTTATACTTGTCCTCATCTTTCATCCTGGGAGGCAAGGCTACACCCGTTTTGCAGATAAAGAAACTGAGGCACAGCAAGGTGATTAGAGGAGCTTCACTGGCCCACTGGGTTCTGAGCCAGTATTCACCGGGCTCCTGCTTTATGCCCACGATAATCCTACCAAGAGTTCCTGATATCGCTTCCATTGTTACTAGTTTTAGATGTAGATGAGGATCCTGAGGCCCTTCGAGCTGGGTTCGGGGACACAGGGTCACAGAGCTGAGTGGGGCTTTGAACCAGGGTGGTCTGCCTCTGACCATATAGCTGGGTCAGGGAGGCCAGGCAGGTTACCCTGAGCCAGCGACAGTCCCCTTGGGAAGAACTCTCCCTCCCCTGTTGACAGGGAGCAAAACCCCAGGGAAAGTTCTCACTGGCCCAGCCCACACATGTCCTTACCTTGGCCCCAGGAGGAGCCTCCCCCAACGGTGGTAAAGGAGGGGCGCCCTCCCAAGCAGAAGGTTCTAGAAAGAGGCTCAGCAAAGCCTCAAAGTGACCCTTGTAGCGGTGACCCCCCCACACCCCCTGGGCCTCAGCTTTCCCATCTACACATTGGGCATGGGGACAGTCTCACGGGAGCGGGATTGAAGGTGCATCCAGCCGGCGCTCCGTGTTTGTGCCTCCTCACCGGCAGGATGACCCCCGGCACTCCTCAGGCTCCCCAGAGGACACCCCGCGGAGCAGCGGTGCCTCCGGCATCTTTGACCTGAGGAACTTGGCCGCCGACTCACTGCTGCCGTGGCTGCTGGAGCGCACAGCCCCTGAGGATGTGGACCGGCGGAACGAGGCCTCTCGGCGGCAGCACCGACCCCGCGCCCTGCTGGCGCTCTACCCGGCACCTGATGAGGTGGGAGCCCCCAGGCCCGCCGCCGACCCTATGTGGTATCCCACCAACATTCACTGGGGGCCTGCTGTACACCCTGGGGTTTTTTGTTTTGTTTTGGGGGGTTTATTTTTTTTATCTTTTTTTTTTTTTAAAGATTTTATTTATTTATTTGAGAGAGAGAGAATGAGAGACAGCACAAGAGGGAAGAGGGCAGAGGGAGAAGCAGACCCCCTGCTGAGCAGGGAGCCTGATGTGGGACTCGATCCCGGGACTCCAGGATCATGACCTGAGCCGAAGGCAGTCGCTTAACCAACTGAGCCACCCAGGCGCCCGTTTTGGGGGGTTTAAAAAATATATTTATTTATTAGAGAGAGAGAGATCGAGAGTGCGGGCATAGAGGGCAGGGGCAGAGGGAGAGGGAGAGAGAGAATCTCAAGCTGACTCCCGCTGAGCGCAGAGCCCATCCCATCACGCGAAATCAAGAGTCAGAGGCTCAACCAACTGAGACACCCAGGTGCCCCTGGACACCCTGTTTTTTTTATTCAATTCCTTTTATTGGATGTCTACGACACGCTCTTATATTTATCCCAGCAGCATTTATTGGATACCTACCATATACTCCTATCGTCTTTCAACCAATACTTAATGTATGCTTGTGTATAGTCTTCTTAATTCAAACAGAATTTAATCAACTGATATTTATTGAGCACCTCCTATATATGCCTATATTGATCCAAGCGACATTTATTGGGCACCTCGTGTATACCCTGTATTTTTATTCAGTGGCTTTTATTTTATATATACTCCTATATTTATCCACCCAGCATTTATTGGGCACCTATTATATACTTCTCTATTCAACCAATGTTAATTATGTGCCTATTGTATAATCCTTTATTTAATCAGACAGCATTGAAGCAACTCCTATATCTTGAGGACTTATGTTTACCCTACCAACTTTTTTTTTAAGTAATGTCTATGCGCAACATGGAGCTTGAACACACAACTCTGAGATCAAGAATTGAGGGCTCTACCAACTGAGCCAGCCAGGCGCCCCTACCCAACCAACTTTTATTGGGAACCTAGTGTATACACCTCTGTTTTCATTCAGCCATTTATTGAGTGCTTACTGTATACTTCTATGTTTATTCAATCGGTACTTACGGGGGGCCTAGTATATATCCCTCTGTATGTCCAGTCAGCATTAATCAAATGTTTTCTGTAGACATCTATGTTTATCTAACCGCCTCTTAGTAGGTCCCTATTGTATGCCTCTGTATTTAGTTGACCAACATGGATGGCAAGCCTTGGAGGTACAGACATGAACAGGATAGACTCAGTCCCTGCCCTCAGAGTTCACAGTGTAGTGGGGGAGAGACCCTCTTCCCAAGAAATCGCAACCCAGGCCGAGTGGTGCCGTGATGAGTTGCCGGATATTGGCCCTCACATGGCCCTCTGTGTCCCAGCCATGTGGCCCTTTGCAATAGGGCATGGTGAACACCTGGACAAGGAGCCTGCTCAGGCCTCAGTGGTCAGGGAAGGCTTCCTGGAGGAAGTGCCGGCTAAGCTGCGACCTGGATGAGGAGGGGACAAGGAAGGGCATCCAGGCAGGGGGAATACAAGGAACTGCAAGAAACTAGTCAGGCTGGGGGTAGAGCTGGTCTCAAGCCACGCATTCCAAGCCCTTCTTAAAGGACGTGTCCCAGCTGCCCTCCCTGGCTCTCGGCAGGACGAGGCCGTGGAACGCTGCAGCCGCCCCGAGCCGCCCCGGGAACACTTTGGACAGAGGATCCTGGTCAAGTGTCTGTCGCTGAAGTGAGTGTGCTGACTCACCCCCTCCCTTCAGACGTGCGAGTCCCCACGTAGGTCCCGGTGCGCGCGCACATGGTGCCCATTGCCCAAGCTGTGTGCAGCCCTGAGACCCATGAGGCGGTCCGGGCGCTTTTAGGTGGGAAGTAAAGACTTCCTTTTCTTGTTCTTCAAAGCCACCAGGCCTTAAGCACCGACTATGTGCCAGGCTCTGTTCTCAGCCCTTCACATGCATTACCCCTAATCTTGTGAGATAGGTGTGGGTTGGGGGGGAAACCGAGGCACAGGGTGGCAGTCATTGTGCGCGAGATCACATGACTTGTGAGGCCGGAGTCTGGCTCTCGCTCTGCTGGGACCCAGCCTGGTGGGGGTGCTGGTGACCCTGGACCTGGCTTCCAGCTGACCGAGGCCCCCTCCACATCAGTCCCTGGGAGCAGCCAGAAGTGCGTGGGAATGGAGCTGAACAGGATGTGGCCTTGGACCTAAGCCCAGCCCTGCCCCTCCCCACCCTGAGTTCCTGCCTGGATGGGGGCAGGAAAGGGAGGCCTTGGTCTGGCCTGAGGCCCGGGTGGGCCGCCTGCCCCAAGCACTAGGGCTGGGAACCAGCTCTATGAGTATCCAGTCATTCAGCAAACACTCATTGAGCACCTACTGTGTACAGGACATGTAACCATGGAATGAGCACACAGGGCTCTCTAGGTGGGGGGACATGGTACACCCAAAGGCTGGGAGATGTCTGGAGGGGAGAAAATGAGGCCGAGAGGTGGGCAGGAGTGGACCATGCAGGATTTTGTTCTCAGCACACTGGGGAGCCTCAAATTTTAAGTTTTAAGATGCTTCCTTAGACTCGCATGAGGAGTGGGAGCCAGCAGGGCAGAGTAAGACAGGAGGGTGGTTACAGGGACTATTCAGGGGAGTGAAGATGGGTCTTAGCCCAGGGTGGCAGAGGACACCCCAGAAAGGGGGGACAGGGAAGCCCAGGAGTTGGGAACTTCAAGATGGGGGTCATTGTTGTGCCAAAAGCTTCCTCTGTATCCGCTGAAGAAGGGCCATAGTTGCAGGGGAAGGGCTCTGCCTGAGTTACAGGGCCAGAGTGGGGGGCAGGATCTCAGGGGCTCAGTTTCCCCTTTTGCAAAATGGGACAGGCTTTTCCTACAAGCTCTTAAGTAGCAATTCTTGGTGGGCCAATGGAAATTAGTCCCCACCAGCACCATAATGCACCACGCCTGGGCTGGGTCTCAAGAGGGAGTGGGGTGTGTGGGTGGTGGGAGTTTTAGGGACAGCCTCTGCCAGAGTCTTCCCATTCACTGTAGGTTTGAGATCGAAATTGAGCCCATCTTTGGCATCTTGGCCCTGTATGATGTGCGGGAGAAAAAGAAGGTAGGAGCCCCTTTCTTCCCTTTCCTACCCCAACCTTCCTCCTTGTTGCAGGGCAGTGGGCTTCCTGGAGGTGGTGGCCCAGCTGCCTTTCATGTCCCCAGATCTCAGAAAACTTCTACTTTGACCTGAACTCGGACTCCATGAAGGGGCTGCTGCGGGCCCATGGCACCCACCCCGCCATCTCCACCCTGGCCCGCTCCGCCATCTTCTCCGTGACCTACCCTTCGCCCGACATCTTCCTGGTCATCAAGGTACCCGCTGGGGCTGGGTCAGGGGGTGATAATGGTAAACGCCAGAGGGTGGCCCCTGCTTTCATGGAAGAGGATGGCCAGGTCACCAAGAAGGGTGATCAAGTCTCTTGTGGGGGAAGCACAGGCAGCTGGGTAGCCCAGAGGAAGTTCCTGACCCAACCCAGGTGGGGAGAAATCACGGAGGGCTTCTGTGGAGAGGTGACTGCTAAACCGGGACCCATGAGTGGGCGGCCTGGCACGTGCAGATGGACATTTAGAGTGTTTTTTAAGTTGAGAGTTTTTCAGTTTATTAGGGAAGAAAGACCTAGTTGGCACATTTGTGTGAGATCTTCTGTTTCTAGGAGTGGGCTCAAATTTCCTTCCCTAAGACGTTCAGTTGGGTTACACGAATGACACTAATTGAGCACCTACAGGCAGGCGCTGCTCATGGTCAGTCAGGCTACACGGGGATTCCCACCTTTAACCTCACCGCAGCCTCAGGAGGTGGGGGTTGCTGTGGCCTCCATTTTACAGATGGGGAAACTGAGGTACAGAATGGGTTAGGGACCTCTTTAGGCTCCCACAGCCCCCAAGTGGTCAGGATTGGCATCCGGCCATGCTTGGAGTGGCCTCTTTGTATATTAACAAAAATATCAATGTAGAGAAAATATGGAGACTTGGGTTTGGAGTGGGTTCAAAGGGGAGGGGAGGGGGCAGCTGGCCAGGCAAGCCAACTGCTAGTGCTCAATCCGGAGGACAGTGGGAGCCATGGGAGGTGTTGGAGCGAGAGCCCTAGCTGGATGGAGTGTCTGAGGGCCGACGAGGGGGCCAGGTGATTGGAAATGGGGTGGGAGGTTGGGGTCCGGACAAGGCCTCACTGGCCCTGCCTGCCCCCTCAGCTGGAGAAAGTATTGCAGCAGGGGGACATCAGCGAGTGCTGCGAGCCCTACATGGTGATGAAGGAGGTGGACACGGCCAAGGTAAGCCTGTGGAGGCTGGGCGGGGTGGTGAAGGGGTCACCGGGCAGGGTAGGCCTGGGGCACTGAGCTTGTGGGGTGTGTTGGGGGGTCTTCCCACAGAACAAAGAGAAGCTGGAGAAGCTGCGTCTGGCGGCCGAGCAGTTCTGCACCCGCCTGGGCCGCTACCGCATGCCCTTCGCCTGGACCGCGGTCCACCTGGCCAACATCGTGAGCAGCGCGGGGCAGCCGGACCGCGACTCGGACTCCGAGGGCGGTGAGGAGGCGGGGCTGCCTGGCCAGGGGCGGGGCTACTGGGAGGGGAAGGGGCGCCCTCTGCTGGCCGGACTTGGTACAAGGTCGAGTCTAAGTGTCTCTCTGGCCCTCCCCGCCTCCCGTTCATCTCTGCCCCCTCCATTTCCATCACTGCCTCCCCTAGAGCGCCGACCTGCCTGGACTGACCGCCGCCGGCGTGGGCCCCAGGATCGGACAAGTAGTGGGGATGACACCTGCAGCTTCTCTGGATTCCGCCCAGCCACGCTAACTGTCACCAACTTCTTTAAGCAGGTGCCATGGCCGTGGGGCTGGGGGAGGGTTTCCCAGGGATAAGCCCCGTTACCCCGCTGTGGGCGCACGGGCCCCAGGGACCCAGTTTACGTGGGCATGTCCCGTGCAGGAGGCCGAGCGGCTCAGTGATGAGGACCTCTTCAAGTTCCTGGCTGACATGCGGCGCCCGTCTTCTGTCCTGCGGCGCCTGCGGCCCGTGACTGGTGCGTGGTGCACCCCGTAAATAAGAGCTGGCACTTCCATGCGGTCACTCAGCAAACCCACACTGAGCACCTGCTCTGCCAGGCCCCGGGGACCCACAGGGGACCGGATGCACAAATCCCTGACGTCAGGGGCTGGATCTTTAATGGGCATCATAGACAAGAAACATAATAAGACAGACAGTGGGTCAAAGGGGGACATGGTGGCAGTGGGGACGTGGGTCCTGAGGGTAGAGCTGATCGAATGTGGAGGCAAGGTACAGCAATCGAGGGTGACTTCTGGCCTTAGCACCTGAAGGACAGCCACTAGAGGGCATCATGGAAAAGTCAGAGCCCCAGCCCTGAAGCCCAGAGAGGGTGGGGCCGGGCCTGGGAGGCTCCTGGGCAGGTGCAAACGCGCTCCTCTCTCCCCAGCCCAGCTCAAGATCGACATTTCCCCGGCCCCTGAGAACCCACACTTCTGCCTCTCCCCGGAGCTGCTTCATGTCAAGCCCTACCCAGACCCCAGGGGCCGGCCCACCAAGGAGATCCTGGAGTTCCCTGCCCGTGAAGTCTATGCCCCCCACACGAGCTACAGGTACAGCCCCCAGGGCCCAGCTGGGCACTTGAATGGGGGGGGGTATTCATGCATCATGCAGAGCAAGGTACCGTTTCTCCCAGACACACACAGACACCCGGAGTGAGATACCACTACTCCGCTTTAATGGAGGGCTGTGTACGCATGAAGGGTCCCATGTCCTGCCTCCACCCCTCCACACACACATGTCCTCTGTCTGTGTCCCCGCCTGCTTCCGTCTCTCCTCCGTGGCCAGAAGCAGGCCCCGGCACCCTGGCCGACCCCAGGGGGCAGGCAGCTCCTCTTTGTGCAGGGGCCGCGTGGGGCATGGCAGCGCCCCTCCGTGTAGACTGGTCCTCAGTTCCACCCAGGCAGGCTCAGGCCGGGAGCGCCGCTGTATGGAGTCTGGAAGGGAGATGAGGCTCAGCCAAGGCAAAGGGGCCCCCATCCAGGTGCCCTGTACACCTCCCATCCAGCGGCCCCGCCCAATCAGTCCCCTCCAGCCTCACCTCTCCTGGATCTGTCGTAGCTGATGCTGCTGTGCGGCCATCTCCCGCTTCTGTCGCTGCACGTGGCCTGTGAGCGCCCACACGATGTGGCTCTGCCTGTCAGCGTGGGCCTGTGGGGTCAGGACAGAAACCTCAGCTAGGGCCCACTCACCTCCCATCCCCCAACCCTACATCGGTATGACCTAACAAGTCGCTGCTACTCTGTGGCCTCAACTTCCCCATCTGTTAAATGGGGATGACAGAAGACTTGCTTCATGGGGGGGTTATAAGCATGATACGGATTATTTTATTTTATTTTTTTTAAGATTTTATTTATTTATTTGACAGAGAGAGACACAGCGAGAGAGGGAACACAAGCAGGGGGAGTGGGAGAGGGAGAAGCAGGCTCCCCGCAGAGCAGGGAGCCCGATGCGGGGCTCGATCCCAGGACCCTGGGATCATGACCTGAGCTGAAGGCAGTCGCTTAACCAACTGAGCCACCAAGGTGCCCAAGCATGATACGGATTATTAAGAGGCATGGCTGGGTAGTTCCTGGGCGCTCAAGAAACACTACCAGTTACTCTGATAGTATACATTTTGTTGAGTAACTTCCATAGCCCCTGCCCCATGCTGAGTATTTTATCTGTGTTGAGTCCCTGTCTCTGCTCTGAGATGTGAATTGTTGCCCTTATTTGCAAATGGGGAAACTGAGGCATGGGAAGGGACCGGGGTTTTGCCCAGGGTCAGATAGGTTAGAGGCCATGGCACTGGGAGGCTGATCTGGAGATGTCTCTGGGACTCAAGGCTCAGAAGCGAGTTCTTCGTGGGAGATCAGACTCTCCACTCCACCAAGGCCAGGAGGCTCTTACCTTTAAGGCCTCAAATTCTTGCTGGGCATGGCCCAGCCAAATGCCCCTCAGCTGGACTTCCAGCCGCTGCATGCTCTCCCGTAGCACCTGTTGTCCCTGGGCCACCTCCCCTAGCGCCTGGGCCGTGGCCTCTGCTTGCAGCTTCAGAGCATCCTCCTCCATCTGAGCAATAAATAGTGGATGTTAGTAGGACGACCAACTTGTCTTTGTTTGCCTGGGACTTGCTTAATTTTAACACTGAAAGTCCTATATTCCAGGGATGCCACCCCCCCCCCAATCCCAGGCAAACCCAGTTGGTTACCCTAGACAACTCCACCGCAAACTCCTACCCACCCCACGATGCCTCAACTGCAGTGCCCACCTGCATCTCCAACAGGCTTGTGCGTAGCTCCTGGGCTGCATCCCGGCCCCGGCTGACCTCCTGCCCCAGGAGGCCCAGTACACGGCCATAGAGGCCCAGGCTGTGCCCCGCCTTTGTCAGCCGTGCCTCTGTGGCCCTGTACACACCGTTGAGGGCCTGACCCAGCTGCAGGGCCCCGTGGAAGAGGAGGGTCAGCTGCTCATGTTGTGCCGGCTCCAGGCCCCCGACGGGCGCTGCAGAGGCGGGCCGGGCCACTGTGGCCAGAGCACACAGAAGGCACAGTGCGAGCTTGGGCATGGCTGAGGCTCTGAAGGGTGCGGCCACAGTGCCACTGCCACCAGCTTTTATGCCCCAGCACCCCGCTAACCCCCGGTCAATCGTTAACCGGCCAGCTGGACGCCCCGGGTTGTGCAAGGGCCTGGCGGTGGCGCGACAGTTGCATCAGGCGAATGTCCGGTGAGGCCACGCTGAGATCACGCCGGCTGGGGCTTGGGGCCAGCTGTGGACTGGGGGGCACTGGTTGAGGACAGGCCCAGGCCCCGACGGGGAAACCTGAAGCTCGGAGCCTCAGTTTCCCCGCCCGTGGAAGGGACGACAACAGTAACAGACATGGTAGCCATAGCAGTGAGGGGAGTGAGCGTCTTAGCTCGGATGGTTTGGGGGAGGGGGTGCAGGGGGCAGAGATCCTCCCAAGGCCGCACAGCCTGACTGCAGGCCCCGTGTGTGCCCCGGATCAGGGCTAGCTGCCATTTCTGCTCCTTGGATGACTGTGGGCAGGTGCCTCTATTCTCCCCCCCAACACACACACATACACTGTAAAATGGGAGAAACGTTCATCCCCCCTCTTCGGCTGCTTGGAGAAGTAAATGAGTTGTTTCTCGTGCTGAGCGCTTAGAACAGAGCTGGGCCTGCAGTAGGTTCCATGTTAACGTTTGGTACAATCCTTGTCGCTCCCCTTGTTTTCTTATTACTGGTATTGTTATGAAGGCTAAGCTGGGAGGCTCGATGCCCCTGTTATACAGATAGGGAAACTGAGGCCCAGAAGGAGGTTGGGGCTTGCACAGAGTTAGCCGTGAGAGGGAGAGGCAGAACTCTGACTTTAGCCCAGCCCCACTTCTGATTCTGGCCTCAGTTTCTCCACCCGAGACACAGGCCTCCTAACTCTAGTGGCTTCTCCTGGGGGAAGGGCAGTCAGGCCCCTGAGCGGGGGGGAAGGGGCGGGTCAGCCCAAGTGGGGGCTTGGGCCTGACTGCTGGCCGCCCGGGCCACCTTCTTGGAACCCCAACCCTGAGCACCCATCTGACCCTGCTCGACACCCCCCATGCCTCAGTGCCCCCAGAGTCCCTCTGTGTCCCCACCCTCAGATGTACTGTTCCCCCATCTATGCTCTGAGGGTACCCACCTGTCCCCCACTCTCTGCCAGTGACATCTCTCGCCCGGTGCTCATAATTGCCCCATATGCCGCCTCAGCTGTGTGGCCATCGACGCCCCCCCACCCCCATGTCCCAGGCCAGGCTTGTGCCGGAAGCCCAGCCCCGCCTGTCCCTCTGATGCCCCCCTGCCCCCGCAGGAACCTGCTGTACGTGTACCCACACTGCCTTAACTTCAGTAGCCGCCAGGGCTCCGTGCGCAACCTGACCGTGCGAGTGCAGTACATGGCGGGGGAGGACCCCAGCCAGGCCCTGCCGGTCAGTGGCCGTGCCGGGGGCGGGGGCGGGGGTCCCGGCTGGGACGTCCCGGGGGACCCCTCACGCTCACCCTCCCCCAGGTCATCTTTGGCAAGTCCAGCTGCAGTGAGTTCACCCGAGAGGCCTTCACCCCCGTGGTCTACCACAACAAGTATGCGGGGTGGCGGGATGGGACCGGTGGTGGGGACATGGTGGGGCAGCAGGAGGGGAGGAGGCTGCCGCTAGGAGAGCCGGCGGCGGATCCTGAGGCAGAGAGCAGACCGTGGGGCCAGGCAGCACTGGGGTCTGACTTGCAAGAGGGGATGGGGAGGGCCAGGGGGGTCCCCGCCCCCAGCAGAGCCCCATGCCAGGTCCCCAGAGTTCTACGAGGAGTTCAAGCTGCGTCTTCCGGCCTGTGTGACCGAGAACCACCACCTGCTGTTCACCTTCTACCACGTCAGCTGCCAGCCCCGGCCGGGCACAGCGCTGGAGACTCCCGTGGGCTTCACTGTGAGACCCCCACCAGCCCTCACCCCCACCCCCCAGCCCCGCTGACCCCCTGTTTGGCCCCAGACCTGACCCCCAGCCTCTCCCCAGTGGATCCCACTGCTGCAGCATGGCTGCCTGAGGACCGGCCCCTTCTGCCTCCCTGTGTCTGTGGACCAGCTCCCACCCAGCTACTCCGTGCTCACACCAGACGTATGTGCCCTGGCCCCCTGCCTCCCTTCCCAAGGCCTTGTCCCCCGACAACACTCCCCAGGCTCCCACCACATGGTCCCCGATCTGTGCCGTGCCTTCCTTCCCATCAATACCCCTGGGAGCCTTGTTGCCCTCTGTTAGGGCCTCCGGGACCCCTGGCTGCTCCATCCCCCCCATTATACTTTTGTGTGTCCGACTGTCCCCACATGTCCCTGTCCCCCACTAGCCCGGCCTCATTACCACCTCCTGCCCCTGCACTGGGGTCTGACTTGCATTCCCCACTGTCCTTCTGCTCCAGTCCCCCATTCGTAGCCCTGCCTGCCTCCCTGACCACGATCCCCCCAGTAGTTCTTCCAGGTCCCATCACCCCCATTAATGCTGTCACCTGTCCACTTACCCTTGAGCTGTCATTAATGCCCTGGGGGCCTCAAGTTCTCCCATTATGCTCTTTCCCAATTCATTCCCCTCAGTAATGTGCACCCCAGGCCTCCATTGTCTGTTTCTCTGTTTGTACCCCAGGCTTCCAGCCTGCCCAGGGGACCCCCATAGTACTCCCTCCCATCTGTGTCCCCCCCGTTGGCGCCCGGCTGCTCCCGCCGGTGGGGCTGGGTTACACCCACAGTATTGCAGTGGCTGGGGCCGGTGGCACTATGGGCACGGGAGGGCGGGCCGGTGCCCACCTGGCATGTCCCTCCTGCAGGTGGCGCTGCCAGGCATGCGCTGGGTGGACGGCCACAAGGGCGTGTTCAGCGTGGAGCTCACTGCTGTGTCCTCTGTGCACCCGCAGGTAGGGGGTGGGGGGATCCCAGGAGTCCGGCCCTGGGGTTGAGCAACAGTGCCGCTGACCGGGGAGGCCTGGCCTCGGGCCATGGACGTGACTTTGGTCAGCGAGGCCCGGCTCCCAGGGAAGCTGCTGAGTCAGGCGGGGGCGGCCATGCCAGTGGCCATCCCAGCTGGGGCTTTGGCCCTTTGCATGGTCTCTCCTCCCTGCGTGTGTCCCTCACCGCTTCTGTGGTCACTTCCCCGCCCCCTCTCCTCCCTCCAGCTCCTAGCTCATCCCTTTCCTCATTTATAGTCAGTTCATTGATCCCCGGCCTTGGTTTTCTGCCCACTGAGCACCGCCCCCAACCCTCCAGGGCCTTCCCAGCCAATGGAACCCTGGCCACCCCCCGCCCTGCTCACCCCGGCTCCCCCCACCCCCAGGACCCTCACCTGGACAAGTTCTTCACTCTGGTGCATGTCCTGGAGGAGGGGGCCTTCCCGTTCCGCCTCAAGGACACCGTGCTGAGTGAGAGCACTGTGGAGCAGGAGATGCGGGCCAGCCTAGCAGCCCTGCGCCTCGCCAGCCCCGAGCCCCTTGTTGCCTTCTCCCATCACGTGCTGGACAAGCTCGTCCGTCTGGTTGTGCGGCCTCCAATCATTGGCGGCCAGATCGGTGAGTGGGCACAGCCTCAGACCCCAGTTTCCCTATCTGGAAGAGGGCTGGCCCCTCAGTCCCCTGGTCCTGGGTGACCTCCTCAGCCCGCTTATCTTTCTGGCCTCGGTTTTCCTTTCTGAAAAATGGCTCCCAACCACCTGTGACCCTTTGATTGGCCCTGCAACCCCTTGGAAAGGTGGGAGATAGGAGTTCCCTGGGGAGGTAGAAGGCCCTGGGCTTTAGCACTTGACCTCTGTTCTGCCCGGCAGTGAACTTAGGCCGTGGGGCCTTTGAGGCAATGGCCCATGTGGTCAGCCTTGTCCACCGGAGTCTAGAGGCTGCCCAGGATGCCCGTGGTCACTGCCCACTGCTGGCTGCCTACGTCCACTATGCCTTCCGACTGCCTGGCACCGAGCCCAGCCTCCCAAGTGGTAAGTGTTAGTGGGAGGCCCCTGGGGGACAGGACATATCTGGGAGGAGAGCATCCCAGTCAGAGGGAACAGCATGTGCAAAGGCCAGGAGGCCGTACAGACCTTGGCTGGTTTGGGCAACTTGCAAGAGAGAGAGTTTTTTGTTCACTCCCCCCCTCCCCAGGCTGGCGGTCTTTGTTGCTTGACTGGTGGGTCATTCAGCCAGTCAACAAGCATCTGCAGTTAAGTGGAAGCAGAGACGCATCTGGGCTGCCCAAGCTCGAATCCCAGCTCTGCTTCCTACACATGCTGTGACCCTGGGCAAGTGACTTCACCTCTCTGGGTCTGTTTTCCATTTGTAAAACAAGGATAATAACGGTCATCCCTTCACGGGGGCGCTGGTAATAGTAAACGAGGTCTAATCCGTACAACACGCTTGATATGGTGAACGCTCAATGCAGTTGGATCCTTTTCAGTTTGCTAAGTAATTAATACTAACCTCTAGCCCCTCTGGGCACTGACCACGTGCCACGCACTGTTCTTGGGCTTTGTCCGTCTCCCCCAAATCACTATGAGGTGGCAGCCACTAGCATGCCCATTTTATAGGCGAGAAGCCTGAGGCTCAGAGACAGAAAGTGACTTTACCCAGGCCAGCCGGCCGGGAAGGGGCAGGGGGCCGACCGTCTTGCCACCATCCTCAGGGACCCCTCCAGTGGCGATGCAGCCTGCCACACTGGCCCGTGGCCCTGGCCGCCCCACCAGCCTCTACCTGGCCCGCTCTAAGAGCATCAGCAGCAGCAACCCCGACCTGGCTGTGGCCCCGGGCTCTGTGGACGACGAGGTCTCCCGCATCCTGGCCAGCAAGGTAGGGCACGGGTGGGCGCTGGGGTCTCTAGCCTCAGCGGCCACGGCTGCCAGGCGGGCGGGTGAAGGATTAGGGTTGACAGAGGACGGGAAGCTCCAAGGAGCAGCACGGACAGAAGCTTGACTCTGGGCGGCGGGGCTGGTCTGCGGCTTTCACAGCTTCGGAGCTGCGACTCAGACTTTGCCCTGGGCTCCGCACTCCAAGGCCGACCCAAGGATGGGTGGCTGGAGGTCGGCCTGGTTGAAAAAGCAGTGTGTACATAGCGGACCAGGTGCGTGTGGGCGCATATACGCCACAGGTGCATATACTCACAGACCCCACGCATGCGTGTGCACGGGGCACATATATACGTGCACTCCATGCACGGCCGCCCACGGGGAGCGTATGTGCGTGGGCCCCAAGCACGTATGTGCACGTGCATTTGCCAGGGTTGCGTGTGGGTGCCCGGGGTGCGCGTATGGCCCCGGGCAGTGCTCACGCTTGGTGTTCCGTGCCGTTCTCCCCGCCTTCTGCCCACGGATTCTACCGCGTCCCCGTGTGTCTCCAGGGTATCGACCGCTCACACTCCTGGGTGAATTCTGCTTATGCTCCAGGAGGCAGCAAGGCTGTGCTGCGACGGGCACCCCCTTATTGCGGGGCCGACCCCAGACAGGTGCCCTCCCTACCTGCCCCTGCACGCGTGTGACCCCATCTTGGCATGAGCTCCTCCCACCTTCCTGGCTGTGGCCTACTAACCTAGGGGGGCTGCCTGAAGGAGGCAGCACACCCCTCCTGCCTTTGTTCAGGGGCTATGGAGTCAGTGTTTTAGGCATCACGGTCATCTTAACCAGCCTTTTGCTGCGTAACAGACTCCAGCCTCAGGCAGAGACAGGAGGGAGAGGGTGGTATGCAAATAGCATGCAAAGGATATGCAAATCCAGCCACTATAACCTCCCTGCCTCGCATGGCCTGTTTCTCTCTAATCCACTCGGTTCAGGAGCCTCGCAACTGTCCCCTTGACATAGCAATCCGAATGATGCCAAAGGGCCGAGACTGACCCTCTGGGCTCTCCCTCCCCTCCTGTTTCAGGCTGACAGACCTCTGTGGGCAGCTCCCTTTACTCTGCCCCTTCCCAGGGATCTGGTGTGGGGAGAGGCTTTGCCTTCAGACAGACCTGGGTCCCAGTTCTCGAGTTCTCGAGTTCTCGATCTGCTGCGGGCTCGCCCTGTGCCCGAGGCTCTGAATTTTCAGATGTGGTCAAGATTCAAAGCAAAGTGTTTATTAGTGGTCCCGAACCTGGGAACGGGTTAGGGCATCACAGGCAGGATTTTATTGGGATAGATTTCAGTCCAGCCCGGCCTCTGAGCTGCCAGGTCTGGGAGATAGGCACCGATCATGCAAACACACGAGTATATGAGTGCAGGGTGTGAAAATGCCTGAAAAGAAATGAATAGGAATGAGGCCACCAGCCTCCTCTGGGTGGTCTGGGGGGGGGGGGGCCTCTCCAGGGAGATGACATTTCTCTTGGGACCTGAAGGGTGAGACAGAGCCAGCCAGGGAAGGGTGGCTGCTCCAGATGGATGGAAAGGCACATGCAAAGGTTGGGACCGAGCTGAGAGCCCCCGAGGCACTGAAAGGAGGCCACTGGATGGTTTCCCCACACACTTGGCCCCAGACCTTGTTCCAGCTCCGTGCCCACCACCCAGGCAGCCTGCACTGAAGGCACGCCAGGGGCCTGTTAGCAGCAAGGGATCTTTTGGACAGTCTTCTCCTGAGATTGCTGGAAATCTGGGTTCATGGGCCCTGCCGGCCCCCCAGCATCTTTAAGAGGGCCTCCCCCAATGCCCTCATTCTCTGAGGTGTCAGCTGGGCCTCGAAGAGCACCTAGGAGGGGATGAGGTGGTAAGAGGGTGGGCATTGCAGGCAGGAGGGGACCCTGAGGCCGGCCTTTGCTGTGGGTGGCCCATCTGGTGTGTGCTGAGGAGCCAGGGCCCTGCTGGGGTTGTGGGAACTGGGGGTCCCTCGAGTGCTGGGGCCCGGGCAGGTTCCAGGGGTCAGAGCAACTCCATCTTGGGGCCTCCTCTCCTTGCCAGTGGCCTCCCCTCCCGACCAGCAAAGGAGGAGGGGAGAAGTGGAGCGTGGGCCCCCATCCCCATTTCACAGATGGGGAGCACTGAGGCAAGCAAGGCTGGAACAGGGCCAGGCCTGGAACCTGGGGCTCTTGGCTGCTCCTGCTGCATCTCATCGGCACCTCCTCTCACCTCTGTCCTATCTCTTTCCCTCTTCTTTCTCTACCCTCGCTTGGACCCCATGTCTATACTCCGCTCCCCTGTCTACGCTCCTTCCTCCACCTCATTGCCCTTCTCTTCCATCCACCCCGTCCTCATGGACTCTCTCCGGCTCTCTGACTTCACCCTCCCTCTTCACCGTGTCCACCCGCACCCCCATCCCTCTGCCATCTTTGTCTGGCCCCGTCCACCCTCGCCAACGGGCTCCTGTCCCCATTCTCACCTCTTCTGTTCCCCCTGCTGGGCACCCCCTTCTCTCTTTGTTATGCTTCTCATCCCCTCCATCACCCCCCCCCACCTTTATCCTTATTATCTCTGCCAAAATCATCCATGCCCTCCTGGCCTGTCCACATGGACATGTCTGTGCCCTATCCATGCCAACCATCTCCTCCCGGTCCATCCCACCGGCACCCTCACTAACCCACCTCGCCATCCCATCCTCTTCACCCCATCCCATCATAGGCCATCGACCGCAGCTCTAGCCGAACTTCTTCCTACCTTGAGGGCTCCTCCTTGGCCCCACCAGCCACCCAGCCGAGACCCACTGTGCAGAAGGTAGTGGGAGGCAGGGGGTGGGTGACTCCGTGTTGGCCCTGGAGCTCCTGTCTCCCCCGAAGCCCAGCAGGGTCTGGAGGGCCCAGGGAAAGGGCGTGCTGACTCCTTCCGCTCCCTCTCCTGCACGGTCTCCAGCTGCACTAACCCCAAGCCATCCTGCTGCATCCAAGCCCCGTTATGCCCTCCAGAGGAGGGCACGGGGTGGGCTCCTCGGCTCTCTGTGACCCTTGCCCCCGCCCCCAGCTGCTGCACGAGGAGCTGGCTCTGCAGTGGGTGGTCAGCGGCAGTGCTGTGCGAGAGGCTGTCCTGCAGCATGCCTGGTTCTTCTTCCAGCTCATGGTGAGACACCCTCCTCCCCTCCTGAGAGCAAGAGATGCCCCGGGGAGGGCCTCTCCTCGGGAGAGAAGCCCCTGAGATTGCACCTGAGACCCCTGAGAAATGACCCCAAGAGACCCTCCATGTCCAGAGAGAAGAAACACTGAAGGGGGCGCCTGGGTGGCTCAGTTGGTTAAGTGATTGCCTTCAGCTCAGGTCATGATCCTGGAGTCCCGGGATCGAGTCCCGCATCAGGCTCCCCGCTCGGCGAGGAGCCTGCTTCTCCCTCTGACCCTCCCCCCTCTCATGTGCTCTCTCTCTCTCATTCTCGCTCTCTCAAATGAATAAATAAATCTTAAAAAAAAAAAAAGAAACACTGAAGGGGTTCTCTCCCTGGAGAGAGGCCCCCTGAAACTTACCTGAGGCCCCCTCCACAGAGAGATGACCCCCCTACCTTCCCTAGGAGATTGTAGAGACCACTGAGAGTCCCCCTAACCAGCATGGAGACCCCTCCCTCTCAGATATCCCCAGAGAGAGAGGGAATCCCTGTGATCAGACTCGAGACCTCTGCGCCAGACTCTTCAAGTGGTGCCTTGAACCACCACTGCTAGATACAAACCTCCCCCAATCTGGTGGGCCATCAAACCCCACCCAGGGCTCCCTCAAATCCCACTTCTTGAGCCCTGCTTTCTGTCCTACCCACATACTTAGCCCCAGGAGACCTAGTCCAGCCCTTCCCAGGCTCTCTCAGCCTCCCCACCCCTGCACCCTGCCTAGAACCCACTCAGGCTCCTCTCACTGCCGGCTCAAGCCCTGTGTTAAGAGTCGGGGCTCGGGCACCTGGGTGGCTCAGTTGGTTGAGCGACTGCCTTCGGCTCAGGTCATGATCCTGGAGTCCCGGGATCGAGTCCCGCATCGGGCTCCCTACTCAGCAGGGGGTCTGCTCCCCCCTCTGCCCTCTTCCCTCTCGTGCTCTCTGTCTCTCATTCTCTCTCTCTCTCTCAAATAAATAAATAAGATCTTTAAAAAAAAAAAAAAAGAGTCAGGGCTCAATCCCCACCCAGGACCCCTTATGCCCACCTCTAGCCCCCGTGCCTTGCTACTAAAACACCGCTCACAGCCCCTCAGGCCCTGCCCCCTTCTGGTGGGCCCCCCTGTTCAGTTCCTCAAGCCCCGCTCCGCTCTCACCCCACCCCCAGGTGAAAAGCATGGCGCTGCACCTGCTTCTGGGCCAACGGTTGGATACGCCCCGCAAGCTCCGCTTCCCTGGGCGTTTCCTGGACGACATCGCGGCCCTCGTGGGCTCTGTGGGCCTGGAAGTCATCACCCGGCTATACAAGGTATGCGGGAACAGGCCTCGATGGGAGGGTCTGAGAGAGGACATAGAGCCCGCCAGGCAGGGGCACCATGAACCCGCTTGCCAGATCAGTCGGTTCACTCAGCATCTATTTCTTGAGCACTGACCGTGTGCATAGTGGCTGGGCCGAATGGTAGACACAGCAGTGAACAAAAGAGGCCCAAATCCATGTTTTCATGGAGCTGACTTTTTGAGGAGACTTGAAGGCTTGGGGGGAGAGCACTCTCTGCCATGGCTGGGGGAAGGGCCTTCCAGGCAGTGGGAGCAGCAAGTGCAAAGGCCCTGAGGTAGGACCATGCCTGGGTTGTTAGAGGAGCAGTTAGGAGGTAAGTGTGGCTGGAGTGGAGTGAGCAAAAGTGGGAATGGGAGTTGATGAGGATGGGGAGGTGGACAGAACAGATCCATTAGCGCTTAGCACGGTGCCAAATACAGTAAGTGTTCAATAAATGGACATTGATGTTCTGAGGCCTTGATCATTGATTGTCCAGGTCCTGGATCACTAATTCCAGTGTTCCCAGGAGCTAGGCAGGCAGTAATAATAATGAGAGTAGTAATAATACTGAGCATTTATTGAGTACTTACTGTGTGTCTTAGATGTGGTTGATGGATCATATCATTAAATTCTCCCAACCACCCCCATGAAGTTGTCTCCATTTTACTGGTGGGGAAACTGAGGCAGAGAATGAGAATGACCAGGTAACAACGTGATACCACACAACTGAGAAGGGGCAGAATGGGGATTTGAACCCAAGCTACCAGCTCCAGAGCCCACAGCCTCACCACATGGGAAGAGTGGGGCTTAGGGTGGACTCAGGGGCATGTACCCATTGGCTGTGGCCAGAATGCCTGATTTTTCAGGAGAAATGGGAGTTTGGGATTTGATAGGAACTTTCCAGATTTTTGAAATGCCGGCCCAACCCAAGTCAGCCCTTGTGCAATATCCCATGACCTCTGGGCTGGGCTCAAAGTTCTCGACCTTGTTCCACTGGAGCCTCCCCAAGGGCTGATATTCCCAGGGGCTGAGCTGGATTGTGAGGAAACCACACTCAGAATGGGCTGAAGGGAGGAACAACGCCCCCAAGAAGCAGCATCATCACAGCTGCCAGTGAGGCATTGGTGATGGGCCACAGTGGTTTCGTTGCTTCACTTGACATTTATTGTGCACTGACTACCAGGCTCAGTTGTACAAGGAAGACCCAGTCTCTGCTCCCCTCTGGACTCAGAGCTAAGGCAGGTTTTAGATCTTGTTTCTTTGGGCTGCAGGGAACTGAGGGCCACTGAGGCTAACCACTCTGTGGCTTATGGTAGCATGAGAGCAGAACAAGCATCAGCTAGGCCTCGGAAGCCATAGCAGCCTTCTTGCTGTTCCTCACGGTTGCCAGGCACATCCTGCCCCAGGGCCTTTGCACTTACTGTTCTCTCTGCTCAGGATGCCTTTCCCATCTTGGCTCTTCCCCATCTTTCAGGTTTCTCTCAAAACAGCACCCCATTCAGTTCTTTTCAAAATACACGGAACTATCCCCAGTCCTTTTATTTATTCTCTGCCTTCCCCCCACACAAGACTGTGAATTGGACGAGCTACAGGGAGCATGTCTGTGCCATTCACAGGGCGTGGCACATAGTAGATGCTCAGTATAGTCTTGTTAAATGGTTGCTGAGAGCGTATCAGTTAAGAGACAGGTTAATTTGCTTGATCATCATTACAAGTGGTTTAAATGTGACCAGAGTTTATTTCTGAGCCTAGGTGGGTTGCAGGGGATTCCACAGTGTGGGACTGGCCATCGTGGTTCATCATGGTGCCCCCCACATGAGGCGTGGCAGGTGGTGGGAACAGGCTGACCTGCCCCTTCTCTATAAGGGACGGCATCACTTCTTCCCAAACCCCATTGGCCAAGATGTGGTCACATGGCTATTCTCAGCCACAAAGAAGGCTGGGAAATGTAGTCTTTGCCCAACTCTGAACTGTGAAGAAGGGTTCCAGTACTCTGAGTGGGGAGAGGATTTGGGGGAAGTCAGCAGCCAGTTTCTGCCATCCATATTGTACTGGTCAAATCTAATGAAAGAAAACAGTGTTCTGAACAGAGTCCTGAGGAGTGTAGACATATAACCGTGGGAAAGGGGAGGGACAGAGGGAAGAGGACAACCAGGAAGGCCAGGTGTATCTGGAGTTCAGAAATGAGGGTGTATCAAGAAGCCCCAAGGCTTTGGGGCAATGACGCGGCTCCTGGAGGTCACTGGTGGCCTTGGTGAGAGCCAGGCCCCATGTGGAGACTGAGGCTCAATGGGACACGTGGATATGGGCTGACCGGCCCTGTGCCCCTAGGATGCAGAGCTGGCCGAGCGCCTGAACGCCAGCCTGGCCTTCTTCCTCAGCGATCTGCTGTCCCTGGTGGACCGCGGCTTCATCTTCAGCCTGGTCCGGGCCCACTACAAGCAGGTAGGGGTGGGCACGGTGGGAACGGCACATCTGCAGTGACGTGGCAGGGTGGTGGGTGTGGTGGGCAGAGCCACGTGAAGGTCGCCCGCTGACCCCCTCCCCCACAGGTGGCCACACGGCTGCAGTCGGCCCCCAACCCGGCATTGCTGCTGACCCTACGCATGGACTTCACCCGCATCCTGTGCAGCCACGAGCACTACGTGACCCTCAACCTCCCCTGCTGCCCCCTGTCGCCCCCAGCCTCGCCCTCACCCTCTGTATCCTCCACCACTTCCCAGGTGGGCTGGCCTCACTCCTGGCTCCTCCTCTTGACCTATGACCACTCACTTCAGCCCCCTCTTCTGTGGGACCCTCATTTGGCCATCTCAGAGTGGGCCAAAGCCCAGGTAGTCTGACCCTTCACCTCTGACCCCGCACTCTTGGCAGTTTCTTGGAGTGGGGGCCAGCTTCTTATATCTCACCCCAAATCCTAGTTCCCGCCTGGGGTTCCATTTGCTGTTTCTCTGACTTCTGACTTTTGACTCCAGGCCCTGTCACCTCACATATGGGTTAACGCCAGTCTCCCCCCGCCCCGACCCTTGACCCCTGGCCTCCTGCCATCCCTGCTTTCTCCACCTGCCCTCTGCAGAGCTCCACCTTCTCCAGCCAGGCCCCAGACCCCAAGGTAACCAGCATGTTCGAGCTGAGCGGGCCGTTCCGACAACAGCACTTCCTGGCTGGGCTCCTGCTGACAGAATTGGCGCTGGCCCTGGAGCCCGAGGCCGAGGGGTGAGCACAGGGCCGCTCTGGTCCCCGGGCTGGTGAAAAGGTCCAGGAGCCATGTCTGCTCCATCCCGAGCTCCTCGCTACCCCCCCCCCCCCCCACAGGGCATTCCTGCTGCACAAGAAGGCCATCAGCGCCGTGCATAGTCTGCTCTGTGGCCACGATGCGGACCCCCGCTACGCTGAGGCTGCTGTGAAGGCCCGTGTGGCCGAGCTGTACCTGCCGCTGCTGTCTCTTGCACGGGACACGCTGCCACGCCTGCATGATTTTGCTGGTCAGTGGGCCGCGGGCAGGATGGGGCTACACGATCCAGGGGCTTCACTGATCACACCGGCTCAGGTCGGGGAAGGTGGGGAGCAGGGTTAGGAACAAAAGCACGGGTGGTGGGGGTCAGAAGAAGAGGTTCCAGTGTGTTGCTGTGGGGCCCCAGGCAAGCCGTTAACCTCTCTGAGCCTAAAGGTTTCCCACCTGTTACATGGGGACAGTGGTCGCATGCACTTTCCTAGGCTTATGTGAAAATTTGGGGAGCAGCGTACTGGGACACTGTCACCCTCCCGATAGGTGAGGAGGGGCAGGTGGGGGACATCGGGGTGAGGGGATGGTCAGAGCCCCGTGTTCATTCAGTCACTCCTCTTCAACCTTCACTGGCACCTGGGGGACAGGGGACAGTTGGAAGCACAGACTTAGGCTTTCTGGGTGGATCCCCTTTGTCATTTGGGGAAAATTCTCAGTCTTTACCTCTTGCATTTTTTTTTTTTCTGCCTCATTTTCTCGCTTCCCTCCTTCTGGGACTCCAATTACACGTACGTTAGACCTTTTGATCGCATCTCAGTGCCGGCTGTACTCTGTCCTGTTTTCCATTCCGTTTTCAGTTGGGAAACTTTCCATTCACTGGAGCTCACTGCTTCAGTCTTCTCTGGCTGCGTCCAGTCTTCTGTTAACCCCAGTTCCGAATTTCAGGTGTTATACTTGGCGGCTAAAGAATGTTTGTTTGATTTTGTGTGTGTGTGTTTTTGTAGATCCCAGTTCTCTACTGAAATGTGCCATCTTTTTATCCACGTTTGTCCATCTTTTCTGCCAGTTTATATATTAACGTCCTTGTTCGCTGACTCCAACATTTGGTCATCTGTGTGCCTGCTTCTGTTGTCTGTTTTTCTCCTATCAATTACATTTTCCTGCCTCTTCCTATGTCTTATAACTTGTTACGGTATTTTGGATGCTGTATGTAAACGAATCATTGGGACTGGGGTAATGTCATCCTTTCCCAGTGACAGTTCCTCTTTCCCTCCCTTACGCAGTAAGGAAAATGGGCTGGTCTCCTCCATCTGGTCAGGAACTGAGCTAGGTTAAGCTGAGCTGGAGCTTTAATTAAACTCAGTCGACCCTTTGTTTCAAGAATCTCTGGGGTGAGACCAGTTCTGTATTTGCTGGCAACTCCTGTCTCTGGCGAGACCTTTTTTTTTTTTTTTTTTTTGGTGGGGGGCGCTATGGGAGTTACTCTTTTAAGACCATAGAGTTTGGAAGCCGACTCTTTAGGTTAAAATCCTATCTCTAGGGGCACCTGGGTGGCTCAGTCGTTGGGCGTCTGTCTTCGGCACAGGTCATGATCCCAGGGTCCTGGGATCAAGCCCCACATCGGGCTCCCTGCTCCGTGGGAAGCCTGCTTCTCCTTCTGCCACTTCCCCTGCTGTGTTCCCTCTCTCGCTGGCCTCTGTCAAATAAATAAATAAAATCTTGAAAAAAAAAAAATCCTATCTCTACCATTTACCTGCTGTGTGACCCCAGGCAAGTGATGTAATCTCTCTGTGCCTCAGTTTCCTCACCCATAAAATGGGGATGGGTAAAAGCATTTATCTCATAGGGTTGTTTTGAAGATTACGAGTTAATATTTTCAAAGTGCTGAAGAATGGCACCTGGCACATAGGAGATTCTATCTAAGTGCCAATTGATGCTACAATCATTATAGCAGCATTTATTACTAATTATTATTATTGTTATTCCTGCCATTGTTCCCATCATCATCATCATCATCATCGTAAATGTTTACGGCTCCTGTGGGCCAGGCCACATTCTGAGTGTTGAGCATATAGCAGCAGCTCAAGCAGATATAGTTCAGGCTTTTGTCATCGTACAGACAATTGTATGATAAATGTATCTAATCATAAGCACAAAAAGTGAGCTCTGAGAATAGATAACTGGAGACCTCACCCTGGCCTGGGGGAGCGGTATCAGGGAAGGCTTCCCTGAGGAGGCGAACTTTGAGCTAGACTATGAGATAGAGACGGTACTTACCAAGGGCTCATTCTTCTGTTCCCCTGTCCCTGCCCCCAGAGGGCCCAGGTCAACGGTCAAGACTGGCCTCGATGCTCGACTCAGACACAGAAGGGGAAGGGGACATCGGAGGCACCATCAATCCCTCAGTGGCCATGGCCATCGCTGGTGGCCCCCTAGCCCCTGGCTCCCGGGCCAGCATCTCTCAGGGCCCAGTGGCAGTGAGTATGGCGCTGGTCCCCAGAGACACCATCCAACCTGGTAATAGAAATTACGTAGGATATCCTGATAGGTCAGTTCTCATCACAATATGGAGGAAATGAGAATCCGCTCCATCCCTTCTGAGCACCCTCTCCCCTGTTTGGCCCCAGGCTTCTCGCTCAGGCTGTCCCCTCTCTGCCGAGTCCAGCCGGACCTTACTGGTGTGTGTGCTGTGGGTCCTGAAGAATGCTGAGCCAGCCCTCCTGCAGCGCTGGGCCGCTGACCTTGCCCTCCCTCAGCTGGGTCGCCTCTTGGACTTGCTATACCTTTGCTTGGCTGCCTTTGAGTACAAGGTGTGGGGATGGGGGTGGGGTGGGCCAGGGGACTGAGTGGGTGGATGAGGCAGGGGTGAACTGTCTTCACGCCCAGGTTCCTGTGGCTTTGAGGGTCAAGGGGTGGACTGTTTCTGGGCTGAGCCAAAGAGAAAAGGGAAAATCGTCTTCGTGAATAGAATTTGGAAGGTGCCAAGACCTTGTAGTAAAGGGGAGAGCTGTGTCTCCAAGCACACGATCCTGGAGGTCGGAAAAGGCTGAATGAGTGTGACCAAGCAGCCCAGGTCCCACAGGAAAGAGCAGAGTCAACCCTCGACCCGTTCTCTGTCCTCACAGGGGAAAAAGGCCTTTGAGCGCATCAACAGCCTCACGTTTAAGAAGTCACTGGACATGAAGGCCCGTCTGGAGGAAGCCATCCTGGGCACCATTGGAGCACGACAGGACATGGTCCGGCGGAGTCGTGGTGAGAGGGAGATGTACCCTGTGCACGTCCCCACGGGCTGCTCCCAGCCTTTGTCTGAGGGGCCATCCTACCTCTGTGTCTGCCTCACCTTTCCCAGAAAGAAGTGCACACATCGTCCGTATGCACATGGGCATCTGTGTTCCCTGTCTGTTCTCATGTCGTTCGTATTTAACTGTGTTCCCTTAGCATGTATATGTGTCACCCGGTGTCCTCACGGGCCGTCCCACACGTGTATCTTAATGCCTGAGCCCTTCTCCTCACGGTCACACATCCTTGTGTTTTTGCACGTCTGCGGACGCTCACCTGCGCATCTCAGAGAGGAGCCCGTTTGGGAACCAGGAGAACGTCCGCTGGCGGAAGAGCATCACGCACTGGAGACAGACCTCGGACCGCGTGGACAAGTGGGTGTGGGCAGGAAGTCGTTCACTGGGGTCAGACCAGTTTCCGGAGAATGGGTGCCCCTAGAGCAGCTAAGGGAGGGGCAGAGAGCTCAGCCCCCAGCCCCTTCCCATCCCCTCCAGGACCAAGGATGAAATGGAACATGAGGCCTTGGTGGACGGGAACCTGGCAACCGAGGCCAGCCTGGTGGTTCTGGACACACTGGAGATCATCGTGCAGGTAGGGCTTGAGCCAGCATCTCTCTGACCTCTGCCCACTGCCATGCCTTGTGATCTCTGACTCTAGAATCCCTCTCTTTCCCTGACCCGGGAAGCAGCTCAGTCCGTAACAGCTGGATTTCTGACCCCTTTCTCCCCCACCCCCCGGCAGACAGTGATGCTGTCAGAGGCCCGGGAGAGCATCTTGGGTGCAGTGCTAAAGGTTGTGCTGTATAGTCTGGGCAGTGCCCAGAGTGCCCTCTTCCTGCAGCACGGCCTGGCCACACAGCGAGCCCTGGTGTCCAAGGTAAGCCCCGCTCGACAGGCAGGGCCCTGAGTAATCATTGCAGCCCACTGAGCTCCTGCTGTATGCTCAGCCACTTCATGAGACGGACACTCCTGAGCCATGGTTTATAGAGGAGGGAGCTGAGGATCAGAGTGGCAGAGTCACTCCCCCAGGGTCACACAGCCAGGGCCTAACCCCGTGTCTGATTCTGAAGCCCACTGTGCTTGGCCAGAGGGGGCAGAATGCAGCTGCCCCTGCCGACGTCCCCATCAGGGGCCTTCTGTGGCACCACGGGGAGGGGCTGACCAGTGTCTGTGTTGCGCTGGGGGGACAGTTCCCAGAGCTGCTGTTCGAGGAGGACACGGAGCTGTGCGCCGACCTTTGCTTGAGGCTGTTGCGACACTGTGGCAGTCGCCTCAGCACCGTCCGCACGCACGCCAGTGCCTCGCTCTACCTCCTCATGCGCCAGAATTTCGAGATTGGCAACGTAAGTGGGAGCGGCGGGCAGAGGCCATGGTCCACGGGAGGCTCGGGGGAGGGGAGGGCGGCCGGGGGGTGGGGGTGTTGGTGCAGTAAATGGAGGGCGGGAGGGGAGAGGTCGGCAGGTCGAGCGGGCCCTGGGGGTGAGGGTCCCAGGCTCACAGGTGTTCTCTTCCTTCCCGGCTCCTCGTAGAACTTTGCCCGCGTGAAGATGCAAGTGACCATGTCCCTCTCATCCCTGGTGGGGACAACGCAGAGCTTCAGCGAAGAGCACCTGAGACGGTCGCTCAAGACCATCCTCACCTATGCCGAGGAGGACGTGGGGCTGCGGGACAGCACCTTCGCCGAGCAGGTGACGCCGCCGGGCCCCCCCGTCACGCCTTCCTCGGCCTGCATCTTTGCTCTGCCTGCTTCGCCCCCGCCACTAAGGCTCTCGGTCACGTCTCGATGCCCTCATTGTCCCCGGCCGCTCCCCCGCTCCAGGTCCAGGACCTGATGTTCAACCTGCACATGATCCTGACGGACACGGTGAAGATGAAGGAGCATCAGGAGGACCCGGAGATGCTCATTGATCTCATGTACAGGTGACGAGGGCCAGGTGGGCCCTTCAGCTGTTCTCACCCACAGACAGGTGGCGGTGGGGTGGGTGGGGAGAGGGGCAGGTGAGCAGGCAGGAGAGGGCACAAGCAAGGGGAGGGCAGGTAAAGGAACGGTACAAAGGGTGCCAGATGAACATAACTGGAGGACGACAGAGGAGAATAAGGTCAAATGAGGGGGACAGGTGGGAGAGACAGGTGAGGTGCTAACCCGTGACAGGTCCGGGAACAAGTGATTTGGAGGAGAGGTGAGGGGTGTTTGGGAAGAAGTAGGGGAGTGGGAGGCGGGGGACAGGTGATGGAGCTAGGGAAGGCGCGGGGCCTATGGGAGGTCGGGGCCTGGTGCACGGGGATGGGGGGCCAGGAGCAAGGGGAACAGGGGCGTGGCTTAACATTCCAGCTTTGGAGCCTGGCTGGTGAGCGCCCCCGATGGGTGGGGTAGCAAGCAAAGGGGGTGGACCAGCGAGGGGCGGCCAGTGGGGGCTAGGCAGGTCCCCGTCCTCCTCACCAGCCCCCACCCATGTGCCAGGATTGCCCGCGGCTACCAGGGCTCCCCCGACCTGCGGCTGACGTGGCTGCAGAACATGGCGGGGAAGCACGCAGAGCTGGGCAACCACGCGGAGGCCGCCCAGTGTATGGTGCACGCCGCCGCTCTGGTGGCCGAGTACCTCGCCCTGCTGGAGGACAGTCGCTACCTGCCCGTGGGCTGCGTTTCCTTCCAGGTGAGCCAGTGGGGGCAGTGGCGGGCCCGATGGGGCAGGGGGTGGCACCCGTGGGCCGGGGCCAGGGCCTGATGCCACCTCCCACCCCAGAACATCTCATCCAACGTGCTCGAGGAGTCTGCCATCTCCGATGACATCCTGTCCCCCGACGAGGAGGGCTTCTGTTCCGGGAAGCACTTCACGGAGCTGGGGCTGGTGGGGCTGCTGGAGCAGGCGGCTGCCTACTTCACCATGGTGAGGCCTGCGGCTGGCCGCAGAACGTGGGGCTCGGGCCAGGGTGGCGTCCTCAGGGCCACTGACGGGCCCAGTACCTGCTCCTGGGGGCTCCCAGTGAAGCTGCTGCCCGATCCCTCCCTTTCTGAGCAGGGGATTGACTGAGGACAACAGGGTCCTTCACGAGCTCGGGTTCCCTGCCTCTCTCCCTGTAAAACCCTTAACACGTGGCCTGGACGTAGGTAGCCTTCCACACACTCAGCCGCTATTAAATTTTTTCTATTAGAGAAAATTTCGAGCACACATAAAAGAAAAGGTTGCACCCCCAGCCCCACCCCCAGCACTCAAATCCAGCAACCACCAGTCTTTATGCTCTTGTTTCAACTCATTGCCTCTAGTTTTTTGTTTTGGTTTTTGATGGCGTTTGTTTTTTTGTTTTTGTTTTGGTGTTTTTTTGTTTTTTTTTTTAAAGATTTTATTTATTTATTTGAGAGAGAGAGCACATGAGAGGGAGGAGGGTCAGAGGCAGAAGCAGGCTCCCTGCTGAGCAGGGAGTCCGATGCGGGACTCGATCCAGGGACTCCAGGATCATGACCTGAGCCGAAGGCAGTCGCTTAACCAACTGAGCCACCCAGGCGCCCTGTTTTGGGTTTTTTTTATATATACATAAAAAGATCTTAATTTTCACAATTTTTTTTGTACATAAAAAAGAGAAGATCTTAATTTTCACAGATTGATTGATGAAACCCAACATGACCGTTCAGCTGGAGTTTTTTTTCAAAGCTTGCCTACTCAGTGTGGTCTGAGGACCAGCAGCATGGGCATCACCTGGGGGCTTGTTATAAATGCAGAGTCCTGTGCCCCCAACCCTACATTTTAACAAGATCTCAGAGATTCCTGTGTGTTGGGAGTCAGAGAAGTTCCAGCTTCAAACAAACCCTACTCATCACACCATCACCTGCACAAGTACCTCCCTGTGCAGTCCCGCTGGTGAAATCCTTTTATGCAACTCTTTATACCGGTCCGTGCTTAGATGTCCCTGACGATCTCGAAACAGTTTTCTTTCTGCACTTGGTTTGTTTGAATCAGGATCCATATAAGACCCACAGTGGCAGTGACTGACAAGTCTCTTAAGGCTCTCTCAGTCAAAGAAAGAAAACAGGAACAAAAGACAGGGCATAAGTTCCCCACTTTGTACAATAAGGCTTTTTAATGTTTTCCTTGATAGGTTGAGGCCCAGGCGATGTATTGTCCACTGTTATAGAAAGGTTTTCTCTTCCAGTTTGCTTGTTTGTGTGAAAGCAGTTGGGTTTTCCCCTGCATTTCACTTGTTGGAGACCTGGGCTTTGTTCCAAGAGGTTTTCTGGCCTGCTTAGGGCTAGTTGCATCCCTGTGGTGTTGCTTTACCTGTTCCTCAGTCCCCTGAGCTTATGGGAACTGATGATTAGATCTGGAGCCCTGCTCAGATTCAGGGTCAGGTTTTCCAGCGAGAATTCTTTTCTGTGCTGCCAGCCCCCTAGTGGGGTTTTCATTATTGTCATTGTGTTAAAGACTCAGAAACAAAAGCCTTGGGAATAAATGGGACGGTAGACACCTCTCACGGTTGGTCAGCAAACATCGCAGGCTGCCTGCTGTGCTGGCGCTGGCTGTGGGTGAGGGGCACTTAGGAGCGGCCATTACCACAAGCCAAGAGGTAGCTGGGTGTGGAAGTCTTGGGCACCAGGCCAAAAGGGCTGGTGTTCAGGTCCTGGCCCTGGGGAGCCATGTCTGAGTTTTAGTTTTCTGAGAAATGGAAAAAAAAAAAAAAAAAAAGACAAAAAAACAAGAAAACCTCCTCCCACAAATGAAGGAACATGGGTAAAGTACAGATGTACACAGCACCTGGTCCACAGTCAGCACGATGGAGACCACGGAGGGGTCTGTGGGGGGTGGAAAGACTGGTGTCCCATCCGGGACAGGGTGGTCAGGGTGGGCTTCCTGGAGGAGGTGGTGAAAGATGGAGCCCTAGAGGATGGGTGGTTGCACAGAGGGTGGGCTGTTCCAGGCAGGGGAGAAAACTGGGGGAGGGGTGCTGGGAACCCTGATGTGCCCCCACCCCCAGGGCGGGCTCTACGAGGCAGTGAACGAGGTCTACAAGACCCTCATCCCCATCCTGGAAGCCCACCGAGACTACAAGAAGCTGGCTGCCGTGCATGGCAAACTGCAGGAGGCCTTCACCAAGATTATGCACCAGGTGGGCCCAGGATGCCCTCCCAGACCCTGCCTTTGGCCCCACCTCCCACCTCACCACAGCTCAGCTGACCCTGACCCTTCTCTCCCCCACAGAGCTCTGGCTGGGAGGTGAGTCAGCCCAGTGGCCACCTGCCTCTGGGGCCCCCATGATGGCTGGTCAGCAGTGGTCAGGGACCACCAGGGGGTGCTGGAGGAACATGGCTGCCTGGCCGCAGGGGCTGGTGCTCAGTGGGCAATGACGCACCCTCCACTTCTTCCCCCATTCCCCCGGGTCCCCCTCCCTGCCCCAGATCCCAAGGGCAGCCTGTGACTCACCCAGCTGGGAGCTCTCCAGAGACACCCCTCCCTCGGGCAGGGCCAGCTTGGTCACTGCCTGTAAGGGGGGGCTCTGACTCCCTCCTTGTCTGTCTCTGTGTTCCTTTTCGTCTCGAATTATGGTCTCTTTCCCTGTCTCTTTCTCTCTCCCTGTCTTGGTCACACTCTGTCTCTCTGGGTCTCTGTCTCTCACTGTCTCCTCCAGCTTCTCCCAGGATCTCTGCTCCTCACTGCCATCTCGTGCTCCCCCTCTCCCGCCTCTCCCCGACTTGGGTCTATTTTTAGGCATCTCCTAGTTTGGGGAGAATTTTCTGGCCAAAGAAGGCAGGAACCCAGAGCCAAGATGGGAGGGCTGGGTGGGGGCCGGGTAGGACGGTCAGGTCCCCTCCTTCCCCGGAGAGAAGGAGGGGAAGAGAGAGATCTCTGGTCTCTGCCCGAAGAATGGTACTCATGGGGCAGCATAACCAGGATCCTGGGGGTTGGGGGCTCTTACCTCTGACCTCTCCCATGACTTTGTGTCTCCCTCCCCTACCAATATCCTTGTGCCCGCCCCCTTCTGCCTGGATCGGCCTTGGTGAGTGAACATGGAGCTACCCTCTTCCTTTCTGGTGGAGGGTAGTATATCTGATGAGGGTGAGGGGTGCCCTGGAACAAGGGAGCCAGAGCCTCTGTCCCAGAGGGCTATGCATTTCCTCAGCCACTTAAGGATTTATTGAGCACCTGCTGTATACCCAGCCCCATAGACATTGAGGACACAGCTGTAAGCAACAGAGCCCTAGTCCTAATTTCATATTGAGATCCAGACTCTGAAGAACTGCACGGGATGAGAGGGATAATCAGAAAGCAGGGGCTTGTGTTGAGTGAAAACAAAGATTTGGGGGAGGCAGGAGACAAAGGTTGGGGAGAAAGAGTGAGGGTGTAAGCAGCTGGCCATCGTCTGGGTCTCAGGGTCCCCCCAGCTGTGCCTATGACCTAATGTTCTTGGGGGTCTCCCTCGCCCTGCCCACCTCTTCCACACTTGGGGGCTCAGGGCCACGCATCCCTGGGGCCAGGGAGCCTCCAGGGGGGCGTCCCGGGCCACAGCTCCCCTTCTCACAGATGCAGCGCGTGTTCGGGACGTACTTCCGCGTGGGCTTCTATGGTGCCCGCTTCGGTGACCTGGACGAGCAGGAGTTTGTGTATAAGGAGCCGTCCATCACGAAGCTAGCCGAGATCTCACACCGGCTGGAGGCACGTCCCAGCGGTAGGGGGTAGACGGGCACTGGGCTGCGCTGGGGCGGAGCGGGGGCCGCTGCTCCTCCATGGCCCCGAGTCAGCCCCGTGTCCCCAGGAGTTCTACACGGAGAGGTTTGGGGAGGACGTGGTCGAGATTGTCAAAGATTCGAACCCCGTGGACAAGACTAAGCTTGACCCACAGAAGGTGAGGGCTCCTGACCATCCCAGGGGACCCCCAAATCCTATCTTCAGGGAGACTCAAAAGTACTATTTCCTGGGGACCCTCAAATCGTATTTCTCTGGCAAACTTGAGAGCTTATCTCTCTCGGGGACCCCCAAATCCTTCTCTTTGGGAGATTCTCAAACATCGAGACTTCGGGGGCTGTGGGAACCCCAGATTTAAAGCTCCCAGACCCAAGGAAGTCCAAATCCCCTTTCTCCAGGGATGGGGCCCTGCAGGGAGGCTGGCAAGCCCCAAGTGTGTGTACTGGGGCTGTGGGAGCCTCATACCTGAGCCCCGCGTCCCAGGCCTACATCCAGATCACTTACGTGGAACCGCACTTCGACACCTATGAGCTCAAGGACCGGGTGACCTACTTCGACCGCAACTACGGGCTGCGCACCTTCCTGTTCTGCACGCCCTTCACACCTGACGGGCGTGCCCACGGGGAGCTGCCGGAGCAACACAAGCGCAAGACTCTGCTCAGCACAGACCACGCCTTCCCCTACATCAAGACGCGAATCCGCGTGTGCCACCGGGAGGAGGTGGGCAGAGGCCCAGGGCCCAGGGAGGGGAGAGGCCGAGACCCAAGATCAAGGGAGGCCCGGGTACCCCAGACCCAGGCTGGCGAGAGGACCCCAAACTCCAACCCCTAAACACCAGTCTTCAGACTCAAACCTCTACTCCCTGACCTAGCCAACTGGAGGCTGGACCATAATCAGACCAAAGTCCCCAGAGCCAGACATAGGAGGCTGAGACCAGACACCCCCCTCCCCCCTCCGCCAGACCCAGGCAGGCAGACACCCCCACACCCTGTTCATGACACAGCCTCTTGGAACCCCTCTCCACCCCCAGCAGGGGTCCAGGCTGCTCTGGGCTGGCTTGGGTCAGGACATCTTCAGGCCCCAGCCAGTGCCTGCCAACCCCCCCCCCCCCCAGACAGTGCTAACACCAGTGGAGGTGGCCATTGAGGACATGCAGAAGAAGACACGGGAGCTGGCTTTTGCCACCGAGCAGGACCCGCCCGACGCCAAGATGCTTCAGATGGTGCTGCAGGGCTCTGTGGGGCCCACTGTGAACCAGGTACAGCCAGTGGGGCAGGCAGGCTGCCTGAGGTACCCCAGAGGCCATGCGGACACCCTCAGGAGCCCCTCTCACCCTGCAGGGTCCCCTGGAGGTGGCCCAGGTATTTTTGGCAGAGATCCCAGAAGACCCCAAACTCTTCAGGCACCATAACAAGCTGCGGCTCTGTTTCAAGGACTTCTGCAAGAAGTAGGCCTGACCCCTCCAAGCCCCGCTTACGGGCTCTTTGCCTTCCTGACCTCATACAGCCTCTCTGTATCCTGGATGTCCATTATGGAGCTCCTGCCTCTCTGGTTCTCATTAAGTCTCCTCTACCTAGCAGACTCACATTATAGCTCCTGACCCCACCCCCCACGGACTGCCCCCCACCTCCAGTCTTGCCTTCTCCTGACTGCCAGCCCCTAGCCTCTCCTGCCCTCTGTCTCTCAGGTGTGAGGATGCCCTGCGGAAGAACAAGGCCCTGATAGGACCAGACCAGAAGGAGTACCACCGTGAGCTAGAGCGCAACTACGGCCGCCTACGGGAGGCTCTGCAGCCGCTGCTCACCCAGCGCCTGCCCCAGCTGCTGGCGCCAACCACAGCGGGCCTCAGGTGCCTGACCCCAGCCCCCCACCCATCGGGAGGGCAGAGGCGGGCACAGACGCGTGCTGTCCTACACGTGCGTGTCAGCACGCATGTTCACGGCGTGGCACAAACATGCAACTATGGGGACATGCCTGCTGAGCAGGCTTCCGGCAGCCACTTCGGATCCCGGCTAGGTCATTCCCAGACATGTGACTTCACGTTCCGGAGCCGAGATTTCCACATCTGTAAAATGGGCACAATTCTTAGCTTTGGTGGGAGATTCCAAGAAAGATTCTATGAACTTGTGGCCAGATCAGAATGGATGGGAAAGGAGCAGAGTCCCTAATTAGAAGAGGAGGGGGCGGGGGGAGGCTGATGAGCACTATGGAGTTGGCCATGTTGACCCACCTCATCCTTCCCCCAGGAACTCCTTGAACAGAGCAAGTTTCCGGAAGGCCGACCTCTGAGCTCCGAGTGGCCTGAAGCCACAGCCAGAAGAACCATCACCCTAGCCTCACTGTCTATGCCTTCCCAGGATTCTCCCTCCACTGGCACACTGGGCTGTGGAGTGATCATATTCACACGGGGCTGGGCCCTCTGTTCCTCTGTTCCCATCTGTGTGCACTGATGCTTCTTACCTTTTCTAATTTAAAGTGGTTTTCATAAGCAGCCTGTTTGATGTGGATCCTGGGAGTTGGGTCATGAGCGCACCCACACACCCTGCTCTTTGACAGACTCTGAGAACTCACTGGGTGCCAGGAACACAGCAGTGACAACCGATGCAAATTCCTGCCCTGGTGGGGCTGACATTCTAGTAGAGGAGGCAACACACAAATAATGTCACGTGCCCATAGGGAATAATAGTAACATTAATTAAACTCTTGGCAGAGGACTCAGCACTGCGCTAAATGGCTCCTAAAAAGACACTGCCCCATTTATGGGGCCTTTTTGACCTCCATTAGGCCCCCCTCCTCCTAGTTAGTGAATTTTCTCAATGCCATTATCAGGTAGGAAGCATTCTTAACCCCGTTTTACAGGTGGGGAAAATGAGGCACCAGGCAGTTAGAGGCTTGGTGGGGATTGGAGCCCAGGTCCGGTTTAGCCATTGCCTGCGCAGCCTCGCACTGACCCAGCCCCACTCCCCACCCCGCGGCAGTCACGCCACCCCGTACCAGGCCTGTGCTGGGCCGCTTCCAGCCCTCGGCCGGCGGGGTGGGGGGAGGGGTGACCTGCCGCCGCCGCCGCCGCCGCCGCCGCCGCCCGCGCCCTCCCGGAGCTGGGCCTTGGCCAGCCCCGCCCCCTCCCGCCCCCCGCAGCGCCCAGCTGTGGCGGTGGCGGGGACCGTGCTCTGGGGACTCGGGGAGGAGGGGCGAGAGGACGACACCGGACCCCTCGCGCGCACGCGAGCACACACACAGACGCACACCTGCGGTCCAGGTGCGATCGCGTTCTCCCGGCATCCCCCTCCACGGCTGCCCGGGGGGGGGGGGGGGGGGGCGGGCGCCTGGGGGCGGGGCCGGCCCGGAGCGGGCAGGGCGGGGGCGGAGCCACCGCCGAGGGCCGGGCGGCCGGGCGGTGGCGCGCGGAGGACGCACGGGCGGCGGGACGCAGGGACTGCGGCTGCCGGAGCGCGCGAGGCGAGTAGGACCCGAGGCTGGGTCGGGGTTCGAGTCCGGTTCGGGGTTCGAGCGTGGTCCCCACCCCACCCACCCCCAATCCCGGGGCGCGACCTCGCCGTTCTCTACGAGCCGCTGCCTCCAACTCCACCGTCTAGGTCCAAACTTTCCGGACTTTCAGTGTCTCGTTCCCCGTGTCTCTGTCCCTCCCTCCCCCGTCTTTGACCCCGTCCCTACTTCTCCCCCCCCCCTCCGGCCCCATCCTCCTCCATCTGTACTTCTCGCCCTGCCCCTTTCCCGCATCATTGCCCTCCCTCTGCCTCTTTCCCCCACCTCGGTCCTCTCTCTACCTCTCTACCCCCGCTCTGCCCCCCCTCGCCCTCCTCCGTGGCCGAGCCGAGCCAGGCCCCAGACGGCGGGAAGGCGTCCGGGCGTCCGGGCGTCCGGCCGGGCTGGGCCTCGGCCTGGCGGTTGGGCCGGCATGGGGAGCGGCAGCTGTTTGCCATTAGCCGGGGACCCCGCAGGCCCCGCCCCCTCCCTGCACGGGGCGGGGTCACCCTTGCCCCCATCTTTGGGGCGGGGAGACCCCAGAGACGTCCGGGTTTGGTTGGCAGGGGGGCTTCAGGGAGACCCCGCCGGACATTCGGGCCGGCCCGGGACCCCGCGCCCCCTTACCTGTCCCCTCTGGGAGCGTCTCGCCTCCCTTTTTCTCCATCTCTCTCCTACCCGGTGTTTCCTTTTCTGTACCCCAGGGGTCCCATACAGGGAGAGGGGCTTCACCCACCACACTCCCCACCTCCATCTGCTTTCTAGACCTGGAGTCATCCTCGCACATAGAGGGTGGTCAGATGACTGGACTCTCTCAGACCTGTCTCTGTGTCTGGGAAATGGGCAGAGGGATGTGGAGTTGGGGGTGAGGGTGGTGTGGCCCTGGCAGTGGGGAATCTGCCAGGCTTAGGTTCAAGTCCACACCCGGCCTCTTCCTCCTCTCGTGACCCTGGGCAAGTCATTGGACATTTCTCTGTCTCCAAAACAGGGCAGTAACCGTGCGCCTGATGGGAATGTTGTGATCAAATGAGCGGCTGGGGTGATTATTACACTTATCACCATTATTCGCCCCACCGCTTTTCACCTCCAGGGGCCCCCACAGGCTATTCCAATTCTGCTTCCTGCCACCAGTCTCTCTCAGGTCTCCAGAAAATACTTTTGATTACCTCCCTGTTGTGTAGGGGGTGAACCTCCAAGCAGATAGAAAACCGAGCTTCATACAATTGGTGACTGTACTCCAGGCGTTGAAAGACAGAGACGTGGAGAGAGGGAGAGAGAAGTGGATCGAGACACAGACGGATGTGGAGAGACTCGGAGAGACGTGGAGAGACTAAGCAAGAGGCAAGCAGGTTGTGAGAAGAGGACAAGCTTGGCCGCCCCTGGAGCCCCAGCCTCGCCTTCATGCCCGGCAGGTGCCCCGCTTGGCCCATCCTCCCAGGTACCCACTGCCCTGGCACCCATAGGCCAGAAAGGGTCCTCCTTGGTGGGATGGGATGGGGCCTCTGGAGCAGGGTGGCTAGAGGTCAGACAGCAGAAAGGACTGGCCAAGCTCAGGCTGAGTGGTGGGGACAAAAGGGTCCTGGCTGGCCTCCAGGGCTGAGGAGGGGTTAGTGAGAGGCTTTGATTGTACCTCCCTTTTGCAGCCTCCAGGCACCCTCTCTTACTTCCTCCCCCCCACCCCACCCCCATGACTTCCCTGGCCACCACCCGGCCTTCTATCCCTGCTGCGCCCCTGAGCCGGACACATCCTGGGGGGGCAGGAAGTTCTCGTGTAGCCCGGCAGCAAAACTGTTTATTTTTAGAGAAAATTGTTTCCATAAAGAGGAAAGGCTTTGCTCCTCACTGCCTCCCCTCAACTTTCCCTACCCCCCCGACTCTGGCTAGCCTGACCCCGCTCTGCTTTGGGGTCCCCTACCCTGAGCTCCATCTCTCCTTGTGCCTGTGTCTCCGTGTTCTCGGATCTTTGCAGGAAGACTGTCCCCCACTTAGTGCCCCAGCCCCCTGCCCACCTCAGCCCCAATCTGTCCCTGTAGCCAGCTTCTGGCCTGGGCTGAGAGGAGGGGTGCAGGAAGGGTGGGGCCTGTCGGGCTTGGGGCCCCCCGGCCCAGGGCCTTGTGGAGGCGGGGCTGTGGGAGCAGCTGGAGCCTGTCCAGGGGCTGGACAGATGTGCAGGCGGGCCGTGAGGTTTGGTTTCTTTGTTCCAGGCCTCGGGGGCCCTCCCCCCCACCCCTTTCCACAAGCCAGGCCGGGTGTATTCCTATAAGAGGGTCCCGGACTCGGGGAAGGTGGGGGGGGTTGGGAGGGAGACAGTTGTGGGGGAGGGGTGGCCACATCCCCTCCCCCTGCAGAACTCCTCCTGACTCCAGGCTCCAATATCCTCTCTCCCCAGGTACGCCTCAGCCTGTGCTGCAGGTGATCTGAGTCATAGGCCCCAGGTGACTCTTGAGGAGCATCTGCAGACCAGAGGATGGCCCAAGTCCTGCACGTGCCAGCCCCCTTCCCAGGTCAGGGGTCTCAGGAAGAAGGGGCCCTGCCTTGGGGTCTGGGAGAAAGATATGGCCCCGCCTCAGGGGTAGAGGCCAGGGAGGAGGAAGTGGGGGGGGCGGTTGTTGAGGGTAGAATACAGCCCTGCCCAGAGGGCCTGAATGAGGACCTTTTGGCTCTGCCCTGGAGGGTCTGTTGGGGGAGACAGTCTTTCAGGGAAAGGGGCTGGTCTGAGTAGAGACACAGGTCCCTGTGCTGGGGCTGTTGGGGGAGTAGGCACAGGCCTGCCCTGAGGGTTTCTGAGGCGGGGACAGGGCCTTGCCTTGAGACTGGAGTCACGGTTGAGCACCCAGTGGGCTCCCATCCCTTGGGCAAATAAACCTTGGCTCTCCCAGGGATGTGAGTCTTCACCCTGAGGAGGGGACAGCAGTGTTCAGAGGCCCTGGTCTTTCTTCACACCCCAGGGACCCCTGGCCCAGCCTCCCCACCCGCCTTCCCTGCCAGGGAGCCTGACCCGCCGTACTCCGTGGAGACGCCCTATGGCTACCGCCTCGACCTGGACTTTCTCAAGTACGTGGATGACATCGAGAAAGGCCACACGCTCCGGCGAGTCGCCGTGCAGCGCCGGCCGCGCCTCGGCTCACTGCCCCGAGGTCCTGGTTCCTGGTGGACATCCACCGAGTCTCTGTGCTCTAATGCCAGTGGGGACAGCCGCCACTCGGCCTATTCCTACTGTGGCCGTGGCTTCTACCCGCAGTACGGTGCCCTGGAGACCCGAGCTGGCTTCAACCCGCGCGTGGAGCGCACGCTGCTGGATGCCCGTCGCCGCCTGGAGGACCAGGCGGCTGCGCCCACTGGCTTGGGCTCCCTGACCCCCAGCGCAGCAGGCTCCACCAGCTCCTTGGTGGGCGTGGGGCTGCCACCCCCGACGCCACGGGGCTCGGGACTGTCCACACCTGTGCCTCCCAGCGCCGGGCACCTGGCCCATGTGCGGGAACAGATGGCAGGTGCCCTGCGGAAGCTGCGGCAGCTGGAGGAGCAGGTGAAGCTGATCCCCGTGCTCCAGGTGAAGCTCTCTGTGCTGCAGGAGGAGAAACGGCAGCTCACAGTACAGCTCAAGAGCCAGAAATTCCTGGGCCATCCCACAGGGGCCCGGGGCCGAAGCGAGCTCTGCCTGGACCTCCCAGAGACCCCCGAGGACCCGGTGACTCTCGAGACCCGGAGCGTGGGCACCTGGGTCCGGGAGCGGGACTTGGGGGTGCCCGACGGGGAAGCAGCCCTTGCCGCTCAGGTCGCCGTGCTGGAGACCCAGCTCAAGAAAACCCTCCGGGAGCTGCAGGCAGCTCAGGCCCGGCAGGCTGACCCCCCACCCCGGCTCCGGCCCCCACCAGACAGCCCCGTCCGCGTGGACACTGTCCGGGTGGTGGAGGGCCCTCGGGAGGTGGAGGTGGTGGCCAGTACAGCTGCTGGGTTCCCTGCACAGCGGGCCCAGAGTCTGGAGCCCTATGGGACAGGGCT